CCATCTTGTTAGTTTTCGGCTCTTTTCACGGGCACCAAGGCTCCAGATCCTCGTAGAGTTCAGGCGAAGGGGAGAAGTCTGCCCTGGGTCCCTCAGATGGTCGCCAAAACTGTCAGCTGAAAAAAATTCGTAACCTAAAAGTTGAGAATTATGTTTTATTTGGTGGCCTTACTGAGAACTATAGCCCAGGATACAGCCTCTCAGCTCTGAGGAACTGCTCCAAAGAGGTATGGGAGGAGCCAGGATATACGGGAGTTTTTGCTGAAAAACAAAACATGTAGTTGAACATCAAAAGATTACCGCCTGTCACAAAAACAGACCTCTCGAGTTAATGACTTGAGTGCTTTTCTGTGTGTGGGAAGACGCAAGAGTCTGGGCTTATTGAAACTGTTCCTCTGATAAACATCTTAACTCTGTCGGGCTAGTGTCCTGTTTTTCTCCATCCTGAATCTCCTCAGGGTGCGCTGTCTGGGTTTATGGCTGCAGTGTCCTTTGTTTACTGAAACGGCAGGCGATGTCCTTTGTTCACACCATTCATCCCACCTGCCGTGGGCAACCACTTGAAAAGGGCTGATGTGTATGCTTCTGTCTGTAAGTGTCCTTATAAAAGATACTGTTGGTATTTGTGAAAATTTTTCTTTACAACATTTTTCTAAGTGGCATTATGCCATGCATGGTGTTGCTTCTGTTCCCACTCTCAGCTGTGAGGATCTCTTTGTTGGTGTATGTATGGTTAGTTGGCTGCCTCTCCTGCGTAGCACCTCCATTTTACCTGCACCCCCCTGGATGCACACCAGCTTTCCTCCACCTTCCTGCCACACACACGAGGCCTCAAGGAACATCCTCCCACAAGTCCCTTTTAACAGCATCATTTTCTCTGGGTGTGTACCCAGAAGTGGGGTGTTGGATCATAGGCCATGTGTAAGTTTGACTTGATCAAGTCAGCCAGACTGCCCCCCAGCCAGGCTGCATCAGGCTACCTCCCACCAGCCATGAACCCCCATACCCAGCCAACGATTGGCCCTCTTCACTTTCTCATTCATTGCCAGTCTGACAGTTGAACAGTGCTTCCTCACTACTCCTGTAGTTTGCATCTCCGATTACTCGCTTGTGCGCAGGGTTCAGAGCTCCATTTTCCCAGTCAGGACCTGTGACGTGCTAGGACTCTACCCAGCACAGGCCCAAGAGCATCTGCTGTTGTTCTGTAAATACAAGCATCCTTTAAATGATGGTTGACTTGATAATATTGTCCTCCTACAATTCTAGAGATTATTTCTGATCTTGAGTGACGTCGCTGGTCCTGTTACCTTCCAGTTAGGACTCACGCCCACATCTGCTCCACTTCTGCCGTCCCCACCCTGGTCATCCACCCCTCAACTAGCTTCCTGGAGTCTCTGCATTCACTCCGGACCTCTCACTCCAGCTCTGGTTCTCTATGCGCCAGCTAGAGGGATCTTTAAAAGCCTCTCCTCCTGTCCATGGCTTCCCAGTTCTCTTATGATGGAACCCTCCCCGTAGCCTGCAGGGTGGCCCCTGATTACCCAGCCAGCCCCTTCCACATCCTGGCTCCTGTCTTTCTGCCCTCTGGCCCCTCCTGGCTGCTCCCACAGGGCCTTCAGCACTGCTGTTCCTTCCATGTGGAATGATTTGTCACCCCCACTCCACCCTGACACCCCCAAAGTCAGTTCCTTCTGAATCTCCAGAGTTCAGCTCAAATGTCACTTCCCTAGACTGGACTCCTTCTCCAGTTATCTTTTCATAGCTCTTAAGTCATCCATGATCAAGTAATCAACTCTACAGTGATCTATTTGAAGTCCTCACCTGATGCCCTGAGGGTGGCCTGTGACAGTCTGTTCCCTGTCCTCCTGCCCCTAACCCTGAGCTCCTGTTCAAAACTCTGGGATGGATGCTGAATACAAAGACCTCTCTATCATGGCACAGCTTAAAGACAGCCCAAAGGAACACACAGCCCTAAAATGGCCCGACGAGTACAAGACACTTTGTCCCAGAAAAGAAGGCCTGGCGGTGTTGTTTTGCCCAAGGCCCAGGGCTGCTGCCTTATCACAGGAGAACCTCAGAGGAACTTGTGACTCAGGAAGGGAGACCTAGGGGCCTTTGTGGGAGATAAAAGGGCTGCGTCTTGATAAATGGTAAAAAAGTAAAACCAAAAATATAAAAATCGTGTTTTGGACAAAATGCAGGTGTTTTAAGAGCGCCTAATTAAAACAGAGAGATGGAATCGGGAAGGAAAATTACTCTTCAAAAAGACAGCTCCATCCTGACTCAGCTCACAGCCTTGGTTAGTCCGGTTGCTTCTTTCTCGACAAAGAACAGGTACCAGCACCTCACTTTGCCTCCAAGAATTTTCAAAAAACTGTTGAGTTAAATGATACCTTAAGTACTTATTTAAAATATGCACAGTTATATGAAGAATAAGGCAGATTTTTGTACATCCTTGTGGACAGCTAATAAGCACGCCCCAGTGTACCGATGGGAAGGTCGGCGGTCGTCAGGTTCTTTCAGTGTACGCACCTTCCCGGGGGATTGCGGCAAATTCCATGGCTTCAGCCATCACCTCTGCTGCATCGTCTGACATTTAGCTGCCTCCTGGCCCTCTTCTGTGTCCCCGAGCACAAAGACGTACTCGCCACCTCGGCATCCCCCTCCTCTTCTCTTGCGCGGCCTCACTGCCCACCCTGCTCACCCCTAACCGGCAGCCTGAGGGGCACCCGGCTCCTGTGTGGGAGGCTGCGCTCGGGCCCCTCGGGACGTGAAGGGCAGGCTCCTAGATCCCGCATGCGGCGTTCGAGGGGGCCCCAGGGCTGGCGCAGCAAGCGACTCAAGCCTTAGAACGGCTGCCTTCTGTGAGTGTCAGCAGATGGGCGGGTGCCCGTGGCTGGCGTGAGTGACCCGTGTGTTCCTCTGACTCAGGTGGGGCAGGGAGGACGCCGAGCTTCAGGAGACGTGGAGACAGAGGCCACGGGGCCCCTTGTGCAGCCGCTTTCATGGAGGTCCAACTTACACCTTCTGATAGCTCACTGTGAGCTTCCGGCAGGAGGAAACCAAAGTAAAAGAGGCTAGACAGAGTCCGTGTTCTCAGCCTTCCCTAGCCTCCACCGTGGACCAGATCCTGCTTTCCAGCTCAGTTCTTTCTCTCCCTCATGTGGATAGCTTTTAATGATAAAAATAGTGACCATAAATATCATTGACGTCTGTGAGTACTTATACCCTGGCCCAGGCACCGTCCAAGCCCTTTTCGTGCTGTGTCTTACTCTCTACAACACCCTAAGTACTTCGTTATGTTTACTTTACTGGGGCTCCCACAGACTTTGGAATCAAGTTCCAAGTTCTCTTCACAAAAAAAAAAGGCTTTTTGTGACTTTGTGCCAGCCTCCCCAGACAGCCTTTTTTCTGGTTTCACTGCCTGCCCTGGCACAGCAGCCTCTGCCTTCCATTCTCACACCGTGGCCCGGCCCCCTGGCTCTAGGGAGCTTTTCTAAACTGAGCGCCCCACGTGCGTCAGCTCCGGCCACATAAAGGAGCCACACTGTGTATCAGCCGGCGTGCCTGTTCCCACGCTGGAAGCCGGCTGCTGGTAAGGCTGGCCTGGATGTCCTGCTTCCTTGTATCTCCCCGGTGCCTGGCACAGTAGGTGGTAAACAGTGACTGACTGAGAAGACAGACTTGTGTGTGTGGATGTTGTAATCTGTATGACTTTGTAGTTGAAATCAGTGTTTCAGCTTACACTAGAACTTGTTTCAAGATTGAAAATCAGCACTAAGCAAACTGCTCTCATGTGTGTGCTCTGGGTGCCCCGACCCCCAGCAGTATCTCCATTCATGTGTTGAAATGTTTTTTACATAAATACTTGACACAGAATCCTTGCCCTCCATCCTCATTTCCCAGAATTAAAAAAAAAACCCAAAAACTAATAGTAATGTATGCTATCTGGTCTATTTAAAATAAGATAATCCTGTTTGGTGGTTGTGTTCCTGGGCTAAGTAGTATTCAAGGGAAATTGATGTTCCCACAATCTAACTTAATCAATACTATGTGAAATAACTTCAGCTCCATGCAGCAGAAAGTTCCTTTTCTTCTGTAGAAAACACTCCTTTTATTGAATGAAATTGTGCTCTTAAAAAAAAAAATGATGGCCAATAATACAGCGTTCTTCTAAACGGTCTAATGTGCTTCAATGACATGGGTATGAATACTCTAAAACTATGTGTTGGAATCAGTCAACTAAGAGGTTTAGAAATACTAAACATGCCTTTCCAAACATTAGAGGAACGCTGGCTTATGAAAGCTGCAAGAAAATAGGAGACCATAGCATCTGAGGACTTCCTCGGTATTGCTGACCCAGCCTGCCCCAGACACAGGCCCTTTGCCGAGCCCACCGAAGGCCTCACGGTGGGTCCCTTCTGCCCACTCCGGTCTGGGTGTGGCTGCTTCCATGTTGTCCCTCCCATCTCAGCTGAGGTCTCCTCCTCCCAGATGCCCTCCTTGACCCCCTTCAGAAAAGTAGCCATTCTGCCCCACTTCTTTTTCTTCACTCATCACCTCCTGAAAACCCAGGACTTACTTCTGGTTACCCCTTTGTCGCTGGATTCCCTGTTCAGCCGGGAGAGGCAGGAGGGGGAGCTTATGCGGCCCAGGGCCCAGCTCAGGGTGAGGGCACTGACCGGTGGGGACGGAGGGACGGGGCTCGCTCCCCAGCCCTGCGTGCTCAGGCCTGCTTCTCGCCTAGCTGCTCCCAGCCTCAGCACTACCGGTCCCTCTCTCGTCCTCCCTCTTTGTGAGTAGGTGTCAGACCAGCAAGCAGAGTGGCATGATCAGACCAAAATTTGAGATCTTTTCTCCTTGTAAAAAACCCCCAATTTTCTTCAGGTATAAATGTGACGGCTGCCGTTTGCATGTCATGTTACCCTGAGAGAGTGGTTCTTGGATATGATGGTGTTAACAGAGCTTCCATGAGGCTAACTTCTGTTTCTGTGTTTCAGATTAATCAAAAGAAGGAACGTAAAGTTGACCTCGTGTTCACCACAGAGCTCTACAACCCGGAGGTAGGCTGCCATGATTAGTGAAGTGTCCTGTTAACAACTCCTGTGAATTTTTTTTAAAGTGAGAATCTTAATATATAGAGACATGAAGGTTTGCTTTTGTTTTTTTCCTGCTCTGTTTTCTATTTGTTCTCAAGAACTGAAGAGCAGAGTAGGCAGGACAGTACCATGGCCTGTGCAGGCTGTGTTAAAGACAGTCCACCGTCCCCTCCTTCCTTTGCTGCTGGGAGAGGGTTTCACACTCCCTTTGGCACCCGTGCCCCTCCCTCGCATCTTAGCATCTCTCAAATGCCAGCCTGCTCTTTCCCTGTCAGCTGCTGACATTTCTCAGCAGGCAGGCATAGCATGAGGCCAGTTCCAGGAGCTTCCATGCACAGAGGCATCCTGTAGCACAGCAGGTCCGCCACAGCATCTCCAGCCTCTGTAGTTCTGACTCGGCAGGCCATGGTTTGCCAAGTGTCCTTTCTCTGTTCTCAAGAAGAGAGTAAACAGAAGACTCAGAAATTAGAGCCAGATGAACTTGGAGGTGCCAGGCCAAGCTGGGAGGCAGCAGCTGGAACCTGGGTGGAGACCAGCCCAAACCCCTTTGTGCAGCACTGAGTCAGAGCAGAGGGACGGGCAGGCGGGTCCGGCATTAAGGTGTTTCAGGGTGAAGGCATGACCCCTTCATCCGATGCTTCTGGAAGAAAGCCTGCTGGTAGTCAGAAACAGGTTCTAACAAGACAGCAACACTCTGACTTCACTAATTAACCTGAGAACTAACATTTTCTTAAAGCTTAAGGAGGGTGCCTTTGGTTTCTGTGTTGCAAACAGAAGTGTTAGATTGATGCTTAAGGGAAAACAATGACTAGATTATTTGGACCAGCCCTGTTTCTCTGAAGAGCATGGTTAGCTAACTGAAATGTTCCACTTCAGGGTAGGGGGCAGGAGAGTTCTTTCATCTTCAGGCAACTTCTTTGATTCTGTGGAGCTGTCTGGGGACAGGGACACAGAAAGAAAAACAAAAGGGGGCAATACCTGGTTCCTCTCCTCTTCTCTGGAAATGGCCGTGACATCAAAGGATTCCACGTACCAGCCCGGCTTCTGCCTTTGATAAGCCTCTTCCAGAATGCCCCTTCGGTTGTTTCTTCTGTTGCACAGATAATTAGGATGCTAATGCACCACTGAAATTCCCTCCCATTTAAACCAGCACTCACCAGAGGAAAAGCTGCCCATTGGAAAGCCTATTTCAGTTTTCTGAATCAGTTCTAGGAGGGGATTAAGCAGGTCCAGTTTTGATTAGTTTGTTTCTTTGTGGGCTTTATCTTTTTGGTTGTTGCTCTAACTGGGACTCTACCCAGCTTCAACGATTGTAAAAGTGAAAAGAACTCAGCTGCTCACCTAACCACGTAGTAACAGGAGTTCTTACTTAGGGGCCCATGGATGGGTTTGAGTGGGTCCATCCATGAACTTCCTCAAATTCTAGGCCCAGTGGATGGTATGAGTGGACATGCGTTTTTCTGGGAAGCAGTTCCCAGGCTTTTATTGTTGAGTTAAGGGATCTGTGACCTACAACGGTGGAGAAGCACTGTCCCAGAATGAGTCATAGACTTATGTCTACTTAAAGCATCCAGCTACCCAGCTCCACATGTCTCTAGATTGGAAAATGAGTTGGGGTGTTCCCAGAACACTCAGTGTGTCTACATTTGAGTGCAGACACACCTCTCTTGGTCACTCAGGTAGTTGAGTTTGTCCATCTGGGTGATCTGTGCCTCTGCTTCTTCCATATGAGGTCTCAGAGTGGAGGGGTGGAGTTCTCACAGGGCCCTGGCATCACAGACACAGCTCAGTCCTGGCTGGCCACTTAATGGCTGTGAGACACGGAGTAGGTGTCCCTGTAAACCTCAGTCTTAATCTGTAAAACTGGAATAAGTGGACTGAGTTCGTCAGGCAGCTGGAAGGTGCTGTTTGTGTTTGTGGGAACCAGCTTTCCTTTGGTTCAGGTTAGCAAGCTTGAGGTCCAGCTGAGCATTGTGTTGGTCCACAGTAGAGGGAAGTACCCCTGTCCTCGCAGTACTCACAGACTCCAGTGATGGTTCTTGGGAAAAGGCCCAGCATCCTTTCACAAGGGCACCATCAGAAAGCCGGAGTTTAAACGACAGCAGAGTGAAGACTGTTGTGTTCCGCTGTGAGCGCAGAAATCACTATCTACAGAGCAGACCACCGCGTATTGCTGCCAGCGCACACCTGCCGTGTACAAGGAACTCCCCAGTTGTGTGTGTTTGTGTATTGGGGCCACGGGGCGTGAGAAGGAACCATTCCATTTACTTCCAAAATCTTTGTTTCAGGAAGGTAACAAACGTCTGGGGAAATGTTCTGCTCGAGTGTTTTTCAGGAATGAGAAACCCAGACCGGCTGTTAATGTGACTTGTGCTCAACTCATTGAGAAGAAGAAAAGACACGAAGAGGATTACCAGCTCTACAAGCGCATGAAGCAACTTCAAAACCCCGTGGATGTAGTCAGCATACCTGGTATGAACAGTATCTGGAATTCCTATACTCAGGAATACATGTTATTACTAAATCATAAAAAGAATGATCATTTAAAATTGTATCCTCCAAATGGCACTTTAATTCAGCTACAGAATATGGTACCTCATTATTTAAACAAAACTCAGAAGTATCCTCTTCCTACTCTTCACCTCCAGTGCATCATAGTGACTCCTCCAAAAACTGCACATTTAGCCCCCCCACTTTCATCCCAGATGAGGCACAGGGCAAGAGTGGAATTCCAAGGAAGGGGTAGAGGTCTTTGCAGTAGGACCCACACGTGGGGGTGCAGTTTTCAGGGCTGGGTCCAGAAGCTGAGGAGATGCCTTGAGAGGTTTCTGGCGGTGGCTTTGGGAACTTCAGGTGACAAGACGCCATCACGGCCTTTCCCGCACCAGGGCAGGCCGAGTCGACTGTCTCGGGAACTTGCCGTGGAGTCAGTTGATCTCATTTTTGGTCCTGAGCTGATGGGCAGCGGTGCCGTCTCTCAGAAGAAACGAGCCCTGCCTGTGACGTGACTCAGCTGAAGTGACGCAGTCTGTTCTGGCCCTTGGTGGGGTGTGTGGGCAGCATCTGGGACTCAGACTTACTGGCAAATCCAGTTTGCAAAACCACAGAAGTCATCTCTGGACTCGCGCACTTGGGCATTAAGCTTGACCTCTAACCATGACAGCGCTCCCCGTCCCTCTCTCTCTCTCTCAGGTCACTCATTTGCCGGAGACCGTAACAGACCCAAGTCAGCCTCAGAGGACCTGTGGTCTCCACTCCTGAGCGCATCTGTGTCCCATCCATTTACTCAGACTAAGTGCTCTGAAAAACGCTCCTAGTGTTTCAAAAATTCAGAAGCTTGGCTCATTGTCATTATAGTTCTCTGACAACTTGGATTAAATCCTGTTCCAAAGAATTATGAGAACAATTCAAAATCTTACACTGTAGTAGAATTTGCTTACATTCAGTACTGCCTGAAATAAATGGGCCGATGACTGATACTTAAAATCTACCATTATTTCGGGATTGTTCCCTTCCTTAGCATTAGTTGGGGAAATAGAGTTTTATATATTCTTCTTAAAACATAAATTATAGAAATTGTATTGAAACTTTTCTAGGATCACTGTATTTTGGACTTTTTAATAGTGTAGGTTAACTGGATCATGTTCAGTTAATAAATCCTATATGCCCACAAGGTTCATTCTGTAACAGTCTGACTTAACGTGGCTACTGTGAAGCTTCAAAAAACTAATACAGGGAACCTTTTCATCAACAAAATCTACAAGTACTCTTGTCACTTTAAGTTCAGCAGAAACATTTAACAGTGCTATTTATAGCCTGTGTATATAAAATTATCTACTTAAAGCTGAAAAGATTTGGTTTTTACATAAAGTGGATCAAAACCTGTTGGAATAGCTGGTTCAAATCTCAGCAGATCCTATTCAGGATGTACTCAACCCAGGGTACTGGCCTGAGTACAGCTTTCTCTACAGTTGACTAAGTGAGATCTAATCTGTTTTAGGATATCCTTGCTCTGCCCTGTTTTTCCCCTAAAAAAGTAGTTGTCTGGTTTTTATTCTGAGTAAAAACTGCACCTTTTCTAGTGAGTTCATAAACTTCTACAGATAAGCCCAAGTATACTACATACAAAGGAAAAGGCTGGGGACCTGGGAATAACCAGAGAAAGTCCTGGTGCCTGAGCAACTGCAGCAGGGCTACTGGCAGTTTTACTTGCAGATGTCCTCATACTCACAGTATCTTGTATAACTAATTTTTCTTCTGCAGTAATTCTTTTTCATCTCACAAGTTAAACTCACAGTGGCACCATAAGGTGAAGTTGGTCACTCTCACTCCCATACACATGCCAGGAATTCAAGGCTCAGCTTAGATCTCAACTCTATGAAGCTTTCCCCAAACTTTCAGCCCAAAGAAACCTCTCCCTTCTCTCTGTCCCCTCAGCTCTCTGATCCTCCCTCTCTTAAGGAAGGTGTCAGCTGTGTTTCTTCACTGTCAGCAAGTAGAAGGTAGGGCCCCTCTTTGTGTCCCTCGTGGCACCCAAGCAATCAGTGAATGCCTTTTGAATTGATTACCATTCATACAGACCAGCCAGGTCAGGTTCTACCAGTATACAGCAGCATTTATGCTCAAGATTATTTTACCAAAAAGGATTCATCTCCTAATAAGCTAATTAGTATTACTCACACACTATACTATTGTTGGGCTTAAATTAGACTAAGAATATCTCTGTCAAATTACATAAATGATGGTCCATGAACAGTTGCCTCATAAATTACTTGCTAAAATTGAGTTCCTAAAAGTCACAAAAGGTAATTTATTAGTCATTGTATCCTACGTATCTGATATTAAGTACATTTTTAATAAATGTTCGCTGAGTTAAAAAGATTGCAGTTCCAAAAACAATGCCCCAGGAAAACCCACTTGATTGATTCTTCATGTGGTCAAAAAAGTGGCAGAGATGCTGCTGCTACAGTGATTAACTTTAACGCCAACAATCAGCAGGGAGGGACAGACATGTGGTGGACTGGCAAAGACCAGCACACTGACTAGACCAAACCTGTAAGGTGAAGTGGAGAAGGTAACTGATAGATGTTTCAATAGAATTAAAAAATACTTCTCAACTAACAAGATTTTAGATTAACTTTGAGTATCATTCTAGCTCTTATTTTGCATTTATATAGAACAGATAGTCCTTAAACTGTTTTATAGTAGCTTTACTTAGGCCAAGTTTTGAAGCATGTAAATCTCCATATAACATAGAAACAGGTACAAGTTCTATCACTGAAATTTCTGAAATTTTGCCCTAAAAATGTCTTAAAACAAGTGTGCTTTTTTGTGTGCCTTCAGATAATCACGGACATATTGATCCTTCTCTGAAACCCATCTGGGATTTAGCCTTTCTGGGCAGCTCTTACGTGATGTGGGAAAAGACAACGCAGTTTTTACACTACTACATGGCACAGCTCAGCAGGGTGAAGCAGTGGGTAAGAAAAACTGAAAATTAACTTGTACCTTAAGAAATACAACCAATGTGATGTTCTTAGGCTAAATTCATATGGGTTTATAGTTTCACGGCAAGAGTTTTGTGTTTCATTCACTGAATAAATATTTGAATGCCAGGTGATGTTTTAGGGACTAAGGATGCAGCAGTGAACAAAACACAATGCAGCACCCTTATTGAGACTAATTCCAGTGAAAGAAGGTAAGAAAGACAGTGCACTAATAAACAAGCAAATACATGTCCGGTGGTGTAAGTGCTAAGGAGAAAAATTAAGTAGGGAAAAGGGAATGCAGAGTACTGACAGGACTACTTACGGTCTAAATTAAGGGCCCCTCTAATTGGAGCAGAGGCGACATTGGAGCAGAGGCCTAGGGAAGGGAGAGTGAGCCACACTTCCATAAGGGAAGGCGTTTCAGGCAGAGGGAACTGACCAGCAGCGTGGCTGAGGGGTTGGGGAAACAGCAGTGAGGCTAGTGTGGCTGGAGCAGAGTGAGCAAGGCGAGTATGTGGGGTGCTGAGATCAGGTGGAGGGGATCAGGTTGTGTTAAGCCTTGGAGGTCTTTAGAAGGACCTTGTCTTTTATTCATTAGAGGGTTTTTAGCAGGGGAGTGACACAGTCTGACTTACAATAGGGCCATTCTGGCTGCTGTGTTGAGAACAGGCCAAGATAGCAAGTGTGGAAGCCAGGGGACCAGTGAAGTATTACAATAATCTAGGCAAGACCCAGTGGTAACTCGGACCAGGATGGCAGCAGTGGAGGTGGTAAGTGGCTGGATTCTGGATATATTTTGAAGGTAGACCAACAGTATTTATTGGTGAGATGGATATGGAGATATCAGAGAATGAGACAAGTCAAGGATGATTCTTAGGATTTTGGCCTGAGTAACTGGATGGACAGTTTTCATTTACTGATTGGGGAAGACTACAGAACAACAGATTTGGGTGGAAATTAGCTTGATTTGGGGTATTCTAAATTCTGTAACCAGGTAGAGGATCTGTAAAGTCATCTGGATATAAGAGGCTGAAGTTCAGGGGATAGGTTTGGGCTGCAGTATTCCCACATGGATGGTTTTTTTTATAGCCACAGAAGTGGATGAGATCACAGAGAATGAGCATAGACAGAGAAAAGTTAGGTCAGGATTGAGTTCTGGAACACTTCAAATTTGAGGTTGGAGATCTGAGAAAAAGTGTTTCAAGGGTGAGAGGACTGAATAACTGTATCAAATGCTGCTGGAAAGTCAGGTAGGATGAGGACTGAGAATTGACATTTGGTTTCAGGCAGTTGGAAGTCGATGGAGAGCTTATCTAGAGCTATCTCACTGGCACAATGTGGGCAAAACCCTGACTGGAGTTGGTTCGGGAGAGAACAGGAGGAGAGGCAGTAGACACTCTTTCAGGGAATTTTGTTATAAAGAAAGGGAAGGGCTGTAGCTAGAGGGTGGGGAAGCACAGGGTGGAAGGAGGGCTTTTTGTTGTATCTTTAGGTTGGGAGATTTAATAGCATATTTATATGTAGATAAGGAAAATCCAGCAGAGAGGAGCCAAGCAGGACTTGTAGGAAAGAGAAGGCAGGCTTGTTGGAGTTAATACCTTTGAGTAGATAGGAAGAAAAGGCCCATCTGGGAGGCGACCTTGGACGGGAGCACAGAGAGTCCCCTGGAGGAAGATGAGTGTGGCATAGATGCTGGTGAAGGGCAGGTGGTAGCTTGTGGAAGTTCTGAATGTTTGTCTTCTCAGTGAAAGTGAGGCAGTCTCCAGCTGAGAGCAAGGATGAGACAGAAGGTATGTGGATGAGAATGGAGTGTGGAGAAAGTTGTGGACTTGACGCAGTACTGCAGGCCCCTGAAGGTCTATGGTCACGAATTTAGAGGTCCAGTCACTCAACTGTGCAGGTGTGGAAGTGGAGGAGGCTGAGTTGGGGTTTCTGTCAGGCAAGTGTGATGGAGGGGGCGGGCACTTCCAGAGTAAGCAGAATCAACTACTCAGAGAGGCGGGCTGAGCCAACCATAAGCACAAATTTCTAAAAGTCGTTTTCTACATGGATGGGTGAAGCAGTGGGCTCACCATGGATAGACAGCTAGAGCATCAGTGAGTATCTTCTGAGTACTAGGATGTGTCTACCATCCAGTCAGCATTATTGCCAGGAACAGCTTGGTGTGCCTTCCAAAGACCACTTGTAAAAGAGATAACTGTTTGAAATTTTTCCTTACTTATCGAAATGAACACATTTATTTCCCCTTATAGAGTGCTTTTTAATAGAAGTGACCATTTAATTGATATATCAAGAGTCAGGATATAACACTAATTCTTTTGTTAGATAAAAGTTTCTCTCATCTATCAAGACAGTCATATCCTCAACCAAAGGCTTTTACCTTAACTGGGAAGTTATGGGGAATTTTTTTGTTTGATGTAGAAAAAGGTGTCAAGATTAATGAATGTCAGAGGAAAACTCATTAGGAATAGAGCAACAGAGACAAAAGAGAAAAAGTTAGGATCTCTTAATGTCCGTGTTTTCCATTCTTCTGCATTTGTATATGACACATCACCAGAGTAATGACCCAGACATACTGTGGCTCAAAAACGGCAGCCCTGGTTTGCTCATTCTAGCCGGTCTTTGATGTCCATTATCTGTCCATTAATAGCCCTCAACCAACCTGCAGGTAGGAAAGTGGAGACAAATGTGATTGTACAGCTCAGAAAACAGAAAAGGAAGGAAGAGAATGGTCACTGAGTAGGAGTTTTTGATTTTTTTTCACCCTGTGGGATTTGGATTTTACATAAATAATAATTGAATATGCACCTGACTTGCTGGGTCACCCAAAACAAATTAGGACTAGGAAATGAGGATTAACAAATTTATTGAAGCCCTTGAAACGAACATAAATCTAAACACTGAAGCAACTGGGAAATTTGGTTTCAAGGTTGATATGCATTTCATCTTAGGGCTCCCTTAAAAGCATGCATCATCCAAGTAGATTATCAAATTCTGCTATTTGGTGGCCATTAAAGTTTCTTATGATCTTTCAGAAAAAGAAGCAACAAGCAAAACAAGCAACAGTTTTTTAAAAACCACTAAGAAAGATCGGAAAGTCTAGGTCTGTTCTAGAGACTGTACGTAGGACAGAAGGGCTGACAAAGCCAAGACACAGAAGCAGGAAGTGACCAGAGGTGCTCCACGGCCCAAGACAGTTCAGGAAACTATAGGGATTATAGTTTTTCCAAAAGCTTTCTGGGTGGGAATTGCTATCTCTATACTCTGAATTAAACTTACCTTTTAATTCAATTATGTAAAGAAGTGCAGCCTTACAACCTCATAGCCCCAAAAGAACACAGCCTGGGAAAAGAGCAGGCTAAGACAGACTGAAATACAAACATAAGACCCATCTTACTGGCATTATTGCCTTAGAACTGAAGAACATGTCATTCCCAAACCATGAGGACTAAGCGAAGGGCAGGGGAGATACTTGTTGGCTACAGGAAAAAAATGTATAAAACCACATGGTTCTCTTAGGGATCATTCTTTTGGGTTGGGGGACAGTGCGGGGAGAAATGGGGATGGTGTGGGTTATGAGTAAGTATAAGGAAACAAAACAAACACTTCAGTCTGTCTCTAGGAACATTAAAGTGCTGAGTTACCAGAAGATGCGACAGTAAGTCATCATCAGTTTGGACTCTAAGGATTTGACATTGGTCATTATCTGAATACATAAGCCAAGGAGATTGTTTCTGGGTAATATAAAGAATGGTGGCTTCCTGGCAGAGCCTCACTTGGTGCAGACAGTGCAGCCTGGACCCTTTGCTAGCTAGGTATGCAGTGTCCAGGCCGCAGATCTTCAGTAAGCCCTGCTTTCGGTTTTGTTTGAGGGTGCTTCCTCCTGGAGGAGGAAGAACCTAGAAAAACAGAAATGTAAGGTGTGTTTCAATAACTTTATTCAGGAAGGTCTTAATTAAATGGTACAGGGTGTCTAAGCATTAAAATAATCCCAAATTTTGTTTGGATTATTTAAAAATAGGTAACATTTTGTATTTGGCAGAACAGTTTGTCAGATGGAATTCGAATGCCATCATTTGTTTCAAGCCTTGCTTCCTTTCTGCCTAAAATCTGTAGATTCCCATGATTTCCTTCAGAAATGCTATTTTCAAAAACAGAAGGAGGCATTGTCCTGAAAAAACACTAAGACCAATTTTTAAATTGTAGAAATACATGGTAAACAGTCAAGCCTTGAGAACTAATGCAGGCAGCACGAAAGTCTGAGACAGAAATAGTACAACATAGCAGCCAGCTGTGTCAATACAGTCAAAGGTCAAGATCGTCACCAAAGGAGGGTCAAACAAGGCTAAATTCACCCCCAAACCTAGCAATGCCCAACTGATCACTGGCACCTTCAGGAACTGACATAAGACACTGAATTTTCTCTCATGAGTTCTATCTTTGCAGCCTGTATTTTGGATATTTGCTTTCATCATTCATAGGTACACTGTTAGACAAAAGGGAAACCCACCCAATGAAGCAAAGTATCATAGAAGAGCCGTCAATTTCTGATGGAGCCAGGCCCTCTCCTGTGTCTTCTCCCTCCAGCACCCTCCCCAACTGCTGCAAATTTCATGGCTTGAAAAAAATCTCCATCACTGTAAGCAAAGGGAAGATAAAACTTAGTATCAAGTCAAGTCCTTTTTGTTTTTTCATATTCTTAAGTAGTCTCGGTGAAAGCCTTGTAGATCTATTTTAAAATTCTCCTCCATTTTTACTAGGAAAGGCGATAAGCACCCTTGCCCCCAACCTCTCCCCCTCCAAAAAAAGTAAAAAGAAAATAGGAAATTGGTATGGTCACTAGTAAAGTTTATAAAAATCAAGTGAATAAAGAAGGTAAGAGGAAGACTGCCTAGCTACCTGTAAATATCCAAAGTGCTGGTTTTAGAAGTGGTATGGTAAAGCATGAAGAATGTGGGTGATGGAGACAGTAGGTCTGAGTTTGAATCCTGATGTCACTAGCTATAACCTCAAGTACCCTCCCTGTAAAACCAGGCTCATTATACATGTTCTCAGGGAATTCTCCTCTCTTCCAGAGTATGTACTAAGTGCCTAGCACAATCTGGCCCATGGTGGCCTAGAAATCCTGGCTGCCCTATCCATTTTCTTACTGCCTGGCATATCAGGGCTAACCTATTGGCTTGAGGTGCATACACAGTAACTAGACTCCTAAGGTGGTCAAAAAATTCTACCTATACTCAATAGACCTTAGCCTCTATCAAAACCCATTAAAAAAAAAAAGACACTACTAGGTTTCCACATGCCTCAGTGACAAAACAAGAAGAATCCATGACTTCCATATCGTAACACAGAATACCAACCACCACAGGAGATGAGGCTTAGACTTGAACAGGTAGCAGGAGGTTCACGGCACCTAGCCAAAGCAAGGATTTATATAAGGTGAGCCTTCCAAATTCTGAGCTAAAGTCAACTTACTCTAGCTATTGCACTAATTATTGTTTTTTCCTTCCTCCAGAAAACAAATGATGATGCAATTGATTTTGGTTATACTGTTCTACTTCATGAATTCTCAACACAGGTAAAACAAAACAGTATACGGAATTGTTTTAGCCGGAAGTTTTTGTAGATCATAATTTTAGAACTCTTATTTCCCAGGAAATCATTCCCTGTCATATTCACTTGGTCTGGTACCCTGGCAAACCACTGAAAGTGAAGTACCACTGTCAAGAGGTACAGACACCAGAAGAAGCCTCTGGAACAGAAGAGGGATCAGCTGTGGCACCAACAGAGCTTAGTAATTTCTGAAAAGCAAAAAAGATCGTCTGCTTACACCAAATGACTATACTAAATAGCCAAAATCATTACTCTAGTAAAATAGCCAAGGTATACGGCATTCTGGTAATTTAGGGAGGCCTGGGATTACAAGTAAATACTCAAAAGATGTTGGGGTTTCTGTTTTTTGATTGGTTTGGTTTACTTTTAACTCTGGGAGCATGTACACACTGAACTCTGCTCAGTGCTAAACAGTCTCCCTGCAGGTTCCTCAGGGTTTCAACCCTAAATTGCAAAACCTAGTTCATTACTGTGTGCTGCAGCTGGACCAATAAGTATTTAAAAAAAACACAGCAAAATAGACTTGATGGTCACATCTGTAAATCTGCATTTCTCAATATTTTGAATATACTGTAGCCAACTATTTTATGATGCTTTTACCTAACATGTAAAAAAGATAATATATTACAGTGAAAGCAAATTATAAGGAAAATATTACCTGTTTAAAAGGAATTTTATTTTTTGATTTCAAGCAAGTATTCCTTTTTAACTGATACCTACTTTCAAATAAATGTTTCTAAATAAAATGTGTTAAATGTGTTTGTAGAGATTTGTCTATAGTCAAAATTTATGCTAAACTGGGATTAAATGATCTCTAAATATTGTGTAATTCAAATTTTACAAAAAAAAATAGTATCTCACAGATAAAGCCGAGTGTCTGTCTGCAAATACACATTAAATGAAACAGTGATGTAACTAAAAGTTTACAAAGTATTTACAACTTTCATTTGTAAGGACAATCTGGACCCAATATTGGCCTAAGTAGTTTATAAAAGCAAATACAACATATACCATTATCAGATTCAGTGGAGTAGCTAACCAGGAAGGAAGATTCGATCCAGGAAACGGGCCAGCATATGCCTCTCAAAGTTAATATCATTTAATGAATGCTTATATCCACATCTGAAAACCTGTAGCCAGGAGGTGGGGCAGATCTCATCCTCATAAAGGCATTATTAGTGAAATCAGGCTCACAAATGTGACCATAATTCAATCAGGCAAGGAATCTAAAATGGCCCTTTAACAGACTTCAGTATATCTACACATATAAAAACTTACCGAATTTATAAATTCGCAAAACCCACAAAGTTAAACCACGAAAAAATTTCTCAGTATCACCACTAGAACATCTTTTCTAACACAAACTCTAAAATTGCTGACTTGATTCTATTAATACCGATTTTGCTAGCTAACAAACAGAAAAAAATTACTTCATCTGCCTTGACATAGAATTAAACCTTCTAAATACCCTAAGCCCTCTTTTCATTGAGTGTAAAGAATTAAGACTCAGTCTGACCCAGTGGCAGTTATATACAGCATTACAGTGATTTTCCTAATCTCTTCAGAATTTTCAGAAATTTTAAGATGTACAAAATAACACCAGGATTTTGTCTGCATTCCATTTGATTCTACTCAGTTTCATTTTTCCTATCTGAATTATGATTCAGTTAGAAGTTAAACAAATTCTTTTGAAAGTCAGTTGGAAGATTCTGTATTAGCCTTTGAATGTCTTCCATGACATGAGTTTTACTACACTAATTTCTCACAGCTTAGAAAATTCAATGACCTGTTCCGTGACCTTTCCTAGATTTCAAAGTGCTACAGTCACCTAACATGCTGCCTGACGCTTATTTGTATGAATGCTCACAGTAAATTGCCTGTGAATACATTAACTACTTCAATGATGCATTACAGTGGTACCTGAAGACACCAAGCAACAATTAAAGCTCTAATATAAAAATGTATAGTTTTAGCAATGCAAATAGCTGTTTTCTACACAGGGATGTATTCCTACGTGTCACAACGTACTACTTACCTGGTGGCTGCCTTGTTTCACTGGTATCAATTTACAGACTCATCCAGATTTCAAAAACATTAAAATCTGAAAAAATCCTAAAACTTCAGAATTAAGTGTCTTCACAAACTAAACAATCTAAGACTAAGCAAAGAGGAAAGGAATAACAGAAAACTGTATCTTTAAGGGTAAAGTTATCAAACTAAAAACAAACAGCCCAAACTCTAACTTCACACAAAATATTAATAGTGTGACATATCTGCATTTCATGTTTTGGAGGTGCAGGTGACATTACAATGGTCTTTAACCTTGTCTGTATATTTGAATAAACCAGAAAACTTCTGTTCTTGATCCAAAGAATGAGAGTATCTAAGGGTCGGCCTGGGTATTTTTAAAGCTTCTGGGTGATTTTTAAAGTGCTGCCAGGATTGGGAATCAGGGCAATACTCCCTAGTGCTGCCACTATTCTCCAACACAAATAATACTGTCTGTTTTTAAATTAGCCAATAATTATTCTTTAGTAGTATAAAAGAAACTTACTTATGAATATCCTCATTAATTTTTTCCTTGTAGAGACTTTGGCTGGTATGTGGTCTTTAAACTATAACCAGACTAATGACTTAGCAAGAGATGTGGGTTCTGGTCCTGGATCGGCCCCTGTGTGATCCTGTTCTAGTTACTCCCACCAGCTGGGCCTGTGTCATTGCCTATGAAATGCTGGTGTCACATTAGATATCTAGACTCTTTCCAGGAACCATACCATCATAACCAGACCAAGTTAAAAACAAATCCAAATTTATCCATCTTATGTTCTAATATTTCTAACTGTTGGCAATAACCAGAGGAACTGTGCTAAGTTCTAAGAAGGTATTTCCTCATTAAGAACACTATTCAAAGTCATTATCAATACCGTGAGATGCTCATGAAATGCCAAAGCAACAATATTTTTCAGGCCTGATGCTACTGTAGCAACAGATATATTTATGGGAAAATGCAGTTGGTTTGGTAAGTATAATAACTGCATTATCAATTTGAAAAGTTAATGAGCTGTATGATCTTGGACAAGTTACTTACCTTCTCTGTGCTTCTGCCACCTCCATTACAAAAATGGACATTTAGTAATTTACTTTCATAGGGTTGTAAAAACGAAATTAGATCATGCATATCAAGCATTTAGCAAATGCCTTGAAAACACTTGCTCAATATTTTTTAAAGATTTTTTTCTAGGAACCTTAAGTTATAAAGTCAAATCTATAAATCAAGAAAAACAAAGAAATTTAAGCCAGTTATTTTATTTGTATTATTCACTAAGGGAAAGGACTAGGGCATGTCTATTACATCAGATGATTTTTGGATGAGGCAATTCTGAATATGGTGGAATTGTCTGGCAAAGTCCAACATATTCTAGGAACAAAAGCTTAACATTTGTTCTTTCACAATCTCAATGAATACAATACATGATAAATTCTAACAGACTCAAATTCAGCTAGCATTTACAAGGTGAATGAAACAGACTAGGCAGCAAGCCTGTTAATTATAAATTTTTTATTATTTTGAGCTACAGAAACACTAAGATGAATATAGATAAGAAAAGCATATGCAAGGGTCTGTTTTTCACCTCATAGGTCTGCAAAAAGTAACATTTACACTCCTAAAAACAAGCAGATAAAAATCTGCGGAAGCCACAAATTGAAGCAATCAGCTCTACATAAAATAGCTAGAAATCTAGCTAGCATTTTAATGTCCAAATAAAGAATCTGAAAAACATTCTCTATTAAGATCATATAGAATCCATTCCTTAAAAAATAATTTTATTCCCAGGACTCATTTATTTTGTAACTGGAAGTATGGACCTTTTAATCTCCCTCACCTATTTCACTCCTCTCTCCTGACTCCTCCCTCCTCTCTAACAAACACCTACCTGTTTGTTCTCTGTATCTATGAGTCTGCTTCCATTTTAATGTTTGTTCATTTGTTTTTTTACACTCCACCTATAGGTAAGAATCATACAGTATTTATCTTTCTCTGACTTACTTCACTTAGCATAATCTCTTCTAGGGTCATCCACGTTGTCACAAAGGAATCCACTCTTAAAAAGGCTGCCAATTAAAAGATGACAATCCAAGATAGTATCATGATATATGCAATTCACTTCCAAGTATTCAGCAAAACAATTTTTAAAAAAAATGGAAGTATAAGACATACATGGACAACAGACAAACAGATAAAGCAAACATGACAAAGGAAATTATTTGATCAACAAACTGTTACCAAAATTGTCCACTGTTGAGTCCAAATGGAAGGTATATGGCCACTCTCTGTACTGTTTTTTCAGCTTTTCTGTATGTTGAAAATTCTTATAAAAAATTTGGAAGTTTATACACGTTCTAAGCTTAGAAGTATAACAGAAATAAGCCTCTTCCCCCTTAAATCAGTATTAAATGTATTTCCGTAATAATATTTTATTTGAGGTAAAAACCAATCAATAGAGGAGATATATATAGAATTGACTTTGATATAATAGAAGCTCCTGAATTTAATAGAAAGGGCTTCTAAAATTACTTGTTCTCAGCCTGGTTTCATTCCATTAGAGTCCGTTAAAGTATCTAAACCTTGCATATTCAGTCAAAAAACTGAAGAAAACTAGTTCTTGGCTTTTCCTTTTTTTACAGGAAGCTGACCTGTAGCTTCTAAATACTTATTAATGAGGTCTTCTTGTGTGGATGGTGAACACGGCTGGTATCTGCAGTACTCCATTGTATATTCTCCCTTCCCCTGGGTGTTTAAAACAAACAAACAAAACAAGCAAATTAAAAAAAACCCAACTATCAAGTCAAGTCACATAAAGACAAGATTTCATAAAAATGATCATTTTGTAGGATGGTCTCTCGAGCACTGAATTAAAACGTAAGCACCTGCTTACCTCTGTGCATGACCTGAGTTCAGTGGAATAACCAAACATATTATTTAGAGGGACCTGAAAATAAACATAGTAGATACTTTAACATTGCTTATTGAAAAATGTTTGAGGAAAATACAGAGAAGCCTTAGCAATTTAATTCTTTTAGACTTAGGTTTCTACTAACTACTCCTGGTTTAAAAGATAGAAGCCAAAGAAAAATTTATTTTTGTTTCACTGCAAGTAGAAACCCTATTTGAAAATAATTTCATTTCACAGTCACAACTAGAAAGCAAATCTTCCAGTTTCACAGAGTGGACACCATCAACAGCCTTTTCCTCTCACCCCACTCCACTCGCTGCAGCTCAAGTGCTCAGACGCGTTTCTTGGGTGAAAATGTGAATACAGCTTTCCTAAGGACTCCTCAATGACATGTCAGTAGTAGTGTCTTCAGGAGGCCTTAGGTAATGTAATAAACCCTTTCTCCCATGAGATTTAAGTCAAGTAAGGTACAGGCAAGGGAACTAAATATCCCAATAAATTAGAGCATAAGACAGCTATGCAAATAAAGCTATAATGAGAAAATGGAACTATATATCTAAGAAAATAGCATATTCACAAAGTCTACATGAAATAAATCTTATTTTTAGCTTTTGCACTTAAGATGCTCTAACAGAAAATTCCTGTAACAGAAAATTACAGAAATTGTCACACATATATAAGCCACAAACTCAACACTCAAATAGCCAGGGAAATGTGTCAATTTGCTCTACGATTTCCAGAAACAAAAGCTAATCTGATTTCCTCCTATGGTTAATAGAAGCCAGGTTGTCAGGAACCAACAATACTTACATCTGCATATAGTGTAAAATAGTCTTCAACTCCATCTTGTCCTGTGATTATTCCATTGCGTCGGTTAATTCCTGCAATCACTGCTCCCTGAAATTCATTTGGAGCTATGACTTCCACAGACATAATAGGTTCAAGAATACATAATGTTGCATCTGCCAAGGCTGGTGTTTAAAAAAAAATAAATTGGTTTATTAATCTTTAAACGAACTGGGACTCTTTTCTATCCAAATATACACAAGGAAGATAGAGTACTCTCCCAAAGGTACACACACAAATGATGAGGTTAAAATCTTTGATCTGGACTCATTTTTCTAGTAGTAGTAGCGGTCACTCTTCTAAATGGAAATTCCAGTAAAACACCACTTAATTCTAATATTAGTATGTCCATTACCATATTTTTATCCTTAAAAATCATTAAGCTGCAGAGAATAATATCAAAGGAGTCTTACAACAACATTTGATCAAGCCTTTTACAATTTAAATTATGCAGCTGAGGGTTACTTATTCTTTCTGAAATCTTTCAGGAGTAAAGACACTGTCACATCTCTGATCAAGGTAAATCAATTCTTTCCTGTTAGTCCCTGGCAGATAGTTATTTATTCTTGGAGACAATAATCAAGTCACACCTGGGATCTGTCTAGGCTGAACAATCTCAATACCTAATTGAGAATTAGGAAACCAAGTTTTTAGCTTCTGCTCTGCCTCTAATAAGTTGCATGCCTTTTAGAAAAACACAGTCTTTTCCGGACTTGCGTTTCTTCACCTACAAAATAAAAACATGGGCCTAGATGCTAAGGGCCATTTAAGCACTAAACCTCAATGTGTACGTACACTTTTTTATCCCACTTAGACATAACCAGAACATATTTAATTTGGACGTTATGATAGTGCAGAATAATACCTCAGCTCCAGACTGGATGAGTTATCTCTAAATAAAGACTTTAAGCAAAACACAGAAAAGGTGACAAAGAAAATATTTTGTTTTAAAATAATCGTAATTTTCCAAACATCAATTTGTTTATAATAAACCAGTCAGCAACTATTCTCGTATATTCATTAAAGCACTTCTTCTGAAGATACTATTACCTTAAGTGCAATAACGGAAGGAACAGTCATTTAATATAACTGTATTTCCTTGAAAATTTTCTAACTCAAATCTATTCTAGCTCAGACCTATCTTTGACAAAATAGTCCAAATTAATCAATTAGTTCTGAAAAGAGGAATAACTGAATTTTGTAGAGTCCTAAGTTTCATTAGCTAAACCCTGCAGAACTCTCCTACACAGATATTTATAGTAGTAGACTAATAATTCTGGACTGTACAAGCAGCTCTGTTTCTTGTAACTTCTTGGGTTATTACAACTGCAGAGCTTCCTTGGCTCTCAGTAAGTGTAATTAATGCAGAAGGTACCCAGAAAGAGTGATGTGAGCAGACTTATTAAGATTTAGTTACACATTGTATAGTGTTTGCAACAGGTTAGTAATAAAAAAGAGCTGGAGTGTGAAAGGGTCTTATTCCAAAGGAAAGGAAGGGGCCAAGTATACAGTGCCCACCTCTTAATTGTTGAGGATAGCACGTCTAGTTCTCAGTTTCATATTCCCTTACTCTGCTCCTTCCCTTTTAAACTCCCTCTTTCCTCCAAAATCCACCCCCCAATTTTTTCAAAGAACCTCACCCTTATGCGTGCCTTCCTCTAAACCCATTCCGTGTGACAAGACTCCAGCGCTAATTCATCCTGCCATTTTTTAAATAGTTACCTGGCAGCCAAGTCCCAAAAACAAATTTCCTCAAGCAGATCCATGTGGTCTTAAGGCAGGAAATGAAAACACCAATGTCATCACAGGACCTCTGAAGCCTAAACTGGTGGGTAGAGGTGGTAATATTTCTGTTTCAGCCCACTAAGGATAATGTTGATAACACCACACCAAGTGCTAAAGAGGTTGTGTGAGGAAGTGGTCAAGGGCTAGGGCTGTGGTTTGGGTTTAACACTTAGCACCTCCACTAACTAGCATGTAACCTTGAGCCATTCAGTTAACTACTCTTGAGTCTCAATTTTCTCAACTGTTGAAGACCAGATATGATAATTCCTGTACTCAGCATAATAAACAGCACGAAAGTGATCACTGAGTGCTCCTATGATCACTCTGAGACACAAAGCTGGGGAATGGGTGGCAAGGCATAGTGCCAGGTGAAAGGTAGCACGAAGGGGAGTGAGGGGAATGAGCATGCACTATATCCAAATATGGATGAGCAAGTGTTCTCAAGTACACTCTCACATAATATTGTGTAATTACTCTCTCCAAGCAGCCTAGGCTTGCCCATTTCCACAGAGTTAAGTATGAAGTAGAGGCAGGGTTCAAACTCAAAGCCCAGAGATTTAAAAAGGGACACTGCTGAGTGAAATGAGCTAGCCATGACACTGGGTAGGACTTTACTTCTCTTGTAGAGTAGCTACAAGTTCGAGTTTCTGGGGTAGACCAAACATAGTGGTCTTCCCAAAAACTGGCCAGAAAAAAACTGATGGCAAACGGTCACATCCGCTCAATTTCACATTTCAGTTTTAGATACATCAGTGGTTAATCTCAGGGACAAAGTTTAAATTGTGACTGAAAATAGTTCCAGTTTTCTTTTTTTAATGAAAAATACATGAGAATTTGAACTGTTTTTCTTCCAATTTTGATAACAGGGAATAGCTCAAAAGTATAAGCTAATCTGATTCTAAGTGCATTTATCAACATTTTCTCCCTAAAACTCTCATAATATACAATGGAAGTCTACGCATGAAAACCTGATTTTGAGCCTGGAAAAATTTCCTCATACCCTGTTACATTTTTGTCTTTCAATCATGGAGAAATAAGAATTAGATGATGAAACAGAAAAGTAATATATTTTTCATGCTAGCACCCTGCTTATTTTGTACATGTTTATCTAGCAAAAAAAAAAAAAAGCTTGTCAATTCAGTTATCATCTAATGCTTTTCCTTCGCACCCCCACCAGGCAATCACACATAACAATATTTGCACACTGAAGTATTTAAAAACTAAATGGTATATATTCAACTGTGTAGTTAATATTCATAGATATGCAGACTTTCTTCATGAATATGTGTATGTATATTATAAGCATATAATCTATATTTATTTATATTTCACATAGGTACAATTAAAAAGGATGAGGTTCTTTGTTAACTGATTTTACCAATTACCTTGCCTTATGTAACCTAGATCTCCAGGAAAGTCACCAATCTCCAGTCAAGAACTAGCATAGAACAATTGGTGATTTCTAATTTAACTATACTTCTAAAAAGTATCACAATGTATTCATTTATCAAATCATCATATTATACACTTTAAATATCTTACAGCTTTGTCAACTGTACCTCAATAAAGCTGAAAAAAAAACATGAAGTGATTACAACAAATTTGTTTAAGATTTATTAAAGTGGTAAACACCTAGAGGGCAAGAGGCAGGTGTAACCATCTGAATCAAGCCTAACAAAGTCTTATTTTATGACTTTATTTCCCTCTTTTCCTATGAACACAATTGTCAGACTGTGACAAGGTCTCCAGATCACAGGTTCCAATCACATTTCTAATCGCTAGCTGGCATAAAGAAAATAGAGGATTCTCTCGCCCTAAATCACAAATTACTAGTGGCTCCCATTAGTTTAAGTAAAATAAGAAATTAGCAGTCTGGTTAAGGAATGAGCAACCTTCTCCAACCATTGCCCCACACCCGATCACAAAGGCTAACAGCCCCAAAACAACATGAAGCCCAGAATTTGTACAGAATCAGTAAGTCCTGATTTACCAAATGCTTGGAAATGGTGTGTTAAGATTAATTTTCTGCTGTCCATCCTGACCCTCTTCCCCAAAAATATTCCTGAAATGTTTTGTGAATCATAATTCTCCTGTGTAAACACACTTGCGGACATTATGAATGAATTACCATATAACAGGTATGGAAGACATGACAAAAAGAATGAATTTTCTGGTTTCCAGATAGAACTTGGAACTCCTTTGTTGAATAACCCTGATGCCCTGTTGTTATTTGCTTTTCTCTCTTCAAAGCAATGAGTCAGATACATCTGCAATTGCTTAGGGTTCTGTTCCATCACGGTTTTAACACACATATTATTCTATGTGAGAAAGATTGATGATTTTAGCAGTTAAGCAAGAAGTCTACACTGTGAATAAGGTTTACCGAATTCTTTCAAAATACTCTGCAATCCTCAAAATGCCTAAAAGCCTATAATGTCATACATGAAAAAGTTATTTCAAATTTATGGATTTTTCTGACATCTGAATAAGTCACTAAAAATAACATGACTATAATGTTTCTTCAAAATATTTCTTAGAATTCTGAGCATTTCTGTCTTCTTTTCCATTAAAAATGGAACTTATAGATTATCTATGAAAAATATCAGATAATTTAGAAAGAACAAAGTAGGATTTTAATTTTATGAGAAAGAAGACATAGCAATGTATTCTCACTCTGATTCTATGAATATTTTCCCAGAACTGATCATGTTCCCTGATGTGCTGCCTACCACTGAGGGGAGAAGACCTAAACAGCACAGTACTGCCTTCTGGGGCTGATGGTCCACCAGGGAAACAGACATAGGGACACGGCAAATGCCAGACGCAGCATACCTTGTTTGAGAGCACCTTCTCCTGCACGGATGAAAGAGATTTCATTGGAATCCACCATGTGATGTGCTCCATCTTGCAGGACAAACCGGAGCCCAGAGAGCTTGTGACCAGACAGAGGGCCCTTCTCGCACGCATCCAGAAACCCCTGTTAGTGAATGAACATAACCTCTGGAGCGGGTGGGTTGCACTTGCAGATGCATTACCGCGAACCCCCAAAAGTCTCAGTAATCAGGAGTTTAACATTTTTGTTTATGCTGTATTTCATTCCTTAAATTTTTTAAAAAAAGTTGAACAGCCTTACCATTTAAGTTTTATTATTGTGGTCTCTAGATGAGCAATCTCTTGGAAAAGCATATTACTTAAAGGTGGGATGCTGAGAGTGCCAGCAATCACTTTCTCATAACCTCAGCAGGAATTATACACTCTCACGAAGCATTATAGAGACAGCATGATCTTAATTTTATAAGGAGGAAACAGGAAAGGTAAATCTGAGAAACTCCCAAAAAGAAAACCTCCATCAAAATTGGCATCTAATTAACAGCTGTGTCTTGAGCTCCTTCTGTATACCTATCACTGCTCTGCTTCACTGGCAGATCACTACATAATATCTTTAGTGTTACACAATGTCAGTAAGAACTAAAAGTAAAAGGTACTTTCATTTTTCCAAACAAGTTCTTTTTCAAAAAGCAGCTTTACTGAGGTATGATGATATCAATAAAATAAACCTATTTAAAGAATACAATTTGATAAGTGTGCAGTTCTTTTCCATTCAGTCACTTTTATATTTGTAGTGCTCCTACAATTCAAGTTAGTTTTTCATGGCAAGACAATCACACAGCTGCACATGTAGCACAATGTATTTCTGACATTTTAAAACTGTAAACTCTCAGTGTTGAGAAATATCTAAGCTTTCCTTCACCTACATTAATCTTTTAGAATAGAAGATAATTTAAAAGTGTGAATGACAAAATTCTGTCTTGAAATAAAGGGTAATGAATGAAATACACTAATCACAAAAAAAGCTACCAAAATACTGAAACCAAAATTATGATCTATTAATAAAGATTCCTAAAAACCTAAAAATCTCAATCTATAAGAATAGACAGTTGCTAAAGATTTTTACAACAGTCTTAAAGCCAGTGACCCAGAAAGCAAACAAAACACTAATAGCCCATCATATGTGTAAAGCTCTTCACATTTCCCAAAGAAATGTCACAGTCTTATCTGATCCTCAATTTGTGAGGGGTTCAGATTGAAGCATTATATGCTCAGTTTAAAATGAAGAAAGTGGTTCTGAACACCAGGGTTTACCGAAAAGCATTTGAATCAGTAGCAAAGATGATGGCAGCACCCAGGGACTGGGAGTCTTAATGAATGGTCATTCTACTGCAACAGAACACCTAAAACTTGCATCAATCCCTGACAACTACTACAAATTTCAGTTGCTGATTACAATCAATTAAGTAGTTTCAATTTATCAAGAGAAATGTAATAACTATGATTCAGACACAGAACTATTTCCCCTCATTGTCATAGCATACATTTATAGCTCTTCAACTCAATGAATTAAAGATTCTAAATCAGATGGAAAGCTTAATCAGAAAAAGTAAGACTGTAACGAAAATGAAACACAGAAAAAAATGATTTGATACCTAGAAGACTGTTTTTGATTTTTCAAAAATACAGTAAAGGTTATTTACTTATTTATTTTTTACCTTTTCTACAGCAGGCACAAATTGCTTTGGAACATTTGCCCCAAATGTTTCATCTGAAAACTCCAACTTAGTGTAGTTCTCTGGGTCCAGAGGCTCCAATACACCTATCACTTTTCCAAACTGGCCTGCACCACCTGATTGTTTTTTATGTGTAAACTCAAACCTAAAAGTGATTAAAGAGGAAAAAAAAAATCAACATAGCATTATATAATTCCCAAAATAAAACAGCTCCTACTAATTTAAATGAGAAAACACATTTCATCATTTTTCCCTTCAAATATAACTTGCTATAACATTTTATTGTAGAATTCATTTAAAAAGGAATCCTCTCCTTTCTGTTCTTACTTGGAGGGAAGGGTGGTACACCACTAAAGTAATCCACGGTTTTAATTCTACTAATTCTGAATTTCATAAGAAGAAAATAAAAGTCAACTAATTAAAATCAGTCAGCCTAAGGTTTCTATTGTAGTAATCTACATTCCAAAGAGCTTGCCCATTTCCTTTGGAATGCCTCCCTTCCCTGGGACACAGGGTTCTCTCCTTAAACCTATATAATCAAGGACAGTTACCTGAAAGTAGGAGCTGTGCAGTTAATTCATACAGGTAGCTGGTATTTGATTTTACAACTTGGACACTATGGACTGAGGTAATAAAAAGAGAAGGGAATTTCGGGTGGAGTAACTAACACCTGGAAATGATTAACGGCAAAATGATTATGATTAACATAAGCCACTCAACTATACACATATATAGACACAGGTCAGTGTTTACTTCAAACTACTAATGACAACATAAATAGGATAAACACCTTACATACATATTAAATATATGTAAACACAGGCTACTATTTCTTTGAAGAAAACATTTTAAGAGTATCTACTGTTGCAAGGCATTTCTTCCTTTAAACAGAACCTTCCTCAAGACCGTAAGGTGAAAGCAGCCAGCTGATTTCAAAGCTGACTGTAGATAACTGGAGTTAAGTGGACACTAATGAGCGTGTATTCCTGCAAACAGATCTGTGAGTGGGCTGGAAGAAGTAAATAGCAATTTTCAGCAGGAGATGTCAGCTTGGAATAAGCAGATTTCATAGCCTAAGTGTGAATGTGCCTGAGGAACTGCCTTTAAAATAATCTTCCAGCGGCCAAGAGCTTGAGGATGGGCTGGGAAAAACAAAACGCTGAAAGATTAATTTTCCTGGGAGGGAAACAAACAGCTATCAGAACTGAGAGAAGGAAAGCAGAAGAGAAACAACTGCCGAATCACCACAGAATTACTAAAGGGATTCCAAAACTATGGTCCACTGACATATTCTTAAGTATGCACAACTTCTCTAAGACATTTTAAATTGTTTTCGATTTTGTTGATAGTAATAAAATATCTATACAACATACTCTGGATCTGTGCTATCTGTATGGTAATCACCAATCACAGATATTTACATTGAACTTTATATTAAAGTTAAATAGAATTTAAAATTTAGTTCCTCAGTTGCACTAGTCACATTGCAAATGGTCAATAGGCAAGTGTGCAGTGTAGCTAGTGTCCAGGGCAGCATAGACAGAACACTGTCATCACTGCACAAAGTTCTACTGGACAGCACTGCCCTGGAGGACCAGTTTACAAGTAATCCATGCAGTTTTCCAGGATCATGGCTGAGCTGATAATCAAGTGGATGCCAAATAACAGAATACTTATGTGCCAGGCTTGTGCTAAGCACTTTTTATGGACTGTCTTACTTGTTCTTCACCACAGACCTATCAAGTAGGTACTGTTTTTATTCATGATTTTATAGGTGAGAAACCTGAGGGTCAGAGAAGCTAAGAAACTTGCCAAACGTGATATGGCTGTTAAGTGACAAAGCCAGGATTTGCACCAAGACCAATACTCTTAATCAAACATGTTTCTAAGAAGGCCAATAAGAAAAGAATATAAACTGATTTAACCTGATTCACTTCAAAAGCCATTAGAAGACACTGCACAAGAAAGATTTTACTGTCGCTTAAGCAGAGAATTGGAAGAACTCAGACACCACCTGGTAGGCAGCTAACAGGTACACTGAAGACAAAAGAACCCATGCTCCTGTGGTCAGACCACTGGCATTTTGTGAAAGACAAATTAGTTTTGGCAAAACATTCTCTCTCACATTAAAATAAATGTTAACTAGAATTGTGTTGGTTGGTTTTATTGTATATCCTATCTTGTAGCTTTAACGTGACTTTATAGTCTTACAAAAGTTGCAAGTCATAAGCGTTTTTAGTTTTATGTTCATAGTTATTTAATTTGCCCGATCCCAGAGATCCGTAATAATTTTGTTACTTTCAAAGTAACCCATACATTATTCAAGCTTGAGGATAATGATCCGTTAACTAATCATTCAAGAAGCCTTAGTAAGCAACTAAGATTTCAAGGACTCAAGAATAGGAATGAAATTCTCTTAATGCAGTTTATTTATTTAACATCTAAATAGGCAGTTGAAAAATTTAAATGTAACAGTTATATTTTAAAAAGAACCTAATATATGTACTTTTAGTAAATAAATGCCTGACATCACAACCGATGTTACTAGCCTTGATCTACAGAGACAGTAGTTGTATTCATAAAGCTTCAAAAAGGTGACTTTATCTAGGAAGCTCACATGTACTTCTCACAATTCTAACAATTACACAAGAGATGTTAAGTAGCTATTTGTGAAACTAAAAATTTCATTCTCAGCAAAAATTTCTTTCTGCATAATCAGAATGTTCTCAGCCACTCTTTCCTGGAGCAACATAATTCACGTAATTCACACACACATACTCGGTGACAACCTAAGAGGTTGGCTGAAAGATGAATGACTAGCCCTGCCCCAGCAAAAGAGAAAAACCTCCATTTTTTGTAAAAGTCTTAAGAGGAGAAATTAACCCTTTCATCGTCTAGTAACTTGACAACTAATGGCTAATATTACCTAGAAAGGATGGGAAATGCCTTACTGCTTACTATTCTTTAACACTTTGATCACCCACTGTGGATCAGGTGCCCCTGAGGAAACACAACTGTCACCTGGATTTGGGTAACATGGCAATCAACGTGTTAAAAACGTGCTTATTCCAAAGACTTTATTTATGAATAAGTTTTAAAAGATATTTGAGAAAACACATTACAAATACATTTTTGTTAACTTAAAAAAAAACCCTACAACGTATATATCTACCCAAAGAAACAACAAAATCCATCTTGAGAAAAATAGCAAAGAATCTTTATTTCCAAGCCCAACAAGCTAGTGTCAGGTTAGCTATATATCTGATGAAAAGAAATCTTAGCTGCCTGATCTACAGCAAATCCAAAAAACAGCCTAGATTATAGTTCCTTTGAAGGTGACAGACACAGGTAATTAAGAGATCTATAGAGTGAAAATGTGTACTAAAAGTCTGTGCTTGCTGAAGGAGCTTTAAAAACTACTTTTGTTAGAAGCTACTTTAATGTAGTGCTTTAAGTTCAGTTTTTAAATGTTTTAATCCTCAAAGTAAAATATTCAAAGTGGAAGCATGGTGTTATATCAAAACCTCATCCTTCTAAGATCAGTAAAGGGAGAGAAGGGTGCAAGTACCTTTTAAAATTTCTCCTGACCTAAGTTACATAATTCTCCAAATTAATGCTATGGTTTGCAGTCTCATATTCTGATTTGCTGGGGTTGAGGAAGCCTGTTCCTGAACTCTCACATTGGGAAGGGAAAAGAAGGATTCGCATGACTCACTACCTGGAGCTCCTTTGCACTTTGCCCTGTGCCTGACACTGGGGGTGGTGTACAAGGAAGTTGTGTTCCTGTCTGCAAGTGAAGCAACCACTCTTTCCACTGAGAGGAAACTAGAAGCCCCAGGGGAGATGCTCCATTAAGGCAAAGTCCAGAAAGCCCCTCCCTGCACTTCTGAAAAGTTAACAAAAAGAAGGATGTAGTCCCTGACCGCCTAGCCCACAGACTCTCTCCCGACACCTCCACCCCCTTAAAGGAAGAGGGGGCTCTCTGCTCGCAGGAACCGGAGAGTAACTGTAGGCGGTAGCAGGGCGGGGCCACAGGAGCAGCCCTCTCAGGAACCAGCGCCCAGGCGGCAGCTGTCAGAATCGGAAGGAACGAGGAAGAGAGGAAGGGAAGGAGCTGGCGATCCCGCCCCTGCCACGCCCAGCCCAAAGCAGGAGGGCCGCGCGGGCTGGACGGGGACGCGTCTCCCAGCTTGAGCAGCCCCACGAGAGCCCAGCCGCCACTCACCGAGAATGGAAATCTCTCCAACCCACTACTCAGCTTCCAGGGCGGCCTCGGTGGCGGAGAGCTGCATCAACTACCAGCAGGGGACCCCCCACAAGGTGTTTCTGGTGCAGACAGTCAAACAAGCCAGCCTGGAGGTGAGTTGGGCAGAGGGCGGTGAGGGCACCTGCTACTCCCTAGGTTCTCAGCGTGGTCCGCTCCCAACCCCGCCCCCTACCCCAGACTCCGACGCCTCTTCTGGGTCACACTGCTGACCTTCGGTCGAGACGAGTTAGCATTTCTTAGGGTGCTCTACACTCCAGTCTCGGGACAGCCCCAGGGCTATTTGTTGTTTTCACGCGGGAAGGCAGAGACGTTGGTATAGTTTTTATGGGACCTAATATAAGGAAATGTTCTCAATGAGGGGAGGCATTTTTCCCTTTCCACAAGTGAAACCTGTAGGAACCATTTTCAAAACGATCTTAAAACTGCTACTGTGTTTCTTATCTACTATTCCAATCTGGACCAACAAACGCTCCGGTTGTGAAAATGATTCTTCACTACTTAAATTTTAAGACCACTCTTTTACTAGACTCTTCGACCAAAATGAAGAGGGAAACAAAAAAGCAACAGAAACTGACAAAGCAAAATCGGAAAAAAGTATTGTGAGCTGAGGCTCGCTTTACCACCAAACACTACTGCCACTGACTGCTGTGAACGATGGGCTCCCTCTGGCTAAAGGGTTAAATTAAATGCTCAAGGCCTGGGCAGTCACTAAGCTTTCATTTTACTAAAATCTAACAGATTTGAGACCGTCCCTTATTTATCCTACAGAAGTTTAACTGCTAACAGTCTTTAAGAGCTGAAAGGGAGTAGATACTATTTCAAAACCACACCAGATAACATTAACTAGGTATAAACTCTCAATTGTATCTTAATTCAAGAGTGAAATACCTAAACCTTCGTCTTACTGTTGTAAAATTTGTTCAGGTAGCATTTTGAAGGTCCACTAATACACAAGTAAAAACAGTACTTAACATCATTTTGTAGTAATATGCCTCAAATGGAATTCATCTTCATTGAACACCATCTGGAGGATACACAGAGCTTTATGAAAAATATTTTCAATGGTGTATCTGTCATCTTTAGAATTAAAATTTTCAGAATCTCTAAAATCTAGGTGTGGAATTTAGGATCACAGACCCAGTTTAGAGCCCGCTGACGATTAGAAGTAAATTATAATCGATTTAATTCATAGATGCTTTTATCCCACCCTTTTATTCTCATCCAAAAGAACCCTGCTAGAGGGCCTAAATTAGATGTTATATACATGGTGACATGCCTTTTTCAAGGTCTAAAGCTTTAATCACTTACCCCCACCAGTCAGTAACCCCAAACAAATGAAGATAGATTCTTCTAACAATGCAAAGAATTGAGTTATTAATAACACCACATCTTCTCAATTTTAGGATATTCCAGGAAAAGGACATAAGTATTGCCTGAAATTTTCTGTGGAAGAAATTATCCAAAAAGTAAGTGAAATGTCCTTTATTATGAAATAAAATTTGATTCTAAATACTCCAGATCACCTCTGCTGATCAAATCATAGGATTAATTCAGTTTTAAAGAAAAATTGTTAATGAAATCCCTGCCTCAAAAAAAATGATCACACAGGGGTCAGTTTTTACTTTTTGTGTGTTCTGAGATACAGTTAATATTTCTATTGAGTTATGTGGAAGAGACATTATATACTTAAAGTAAATTTCCTTTAAAAATGTTATATACTCATAGGCTAGTTCAATTTATGCTAATATGAACAAGTAACTAACTCTCCAATCATCATCACTGTCTTATGTCTGTATCATTTTGTTTTTCATATCTTTTAATTAAAGAAAACAGTGCTTTTAGATATTTATGAGTAACAGAATGGCCAACTGATACCACCATGTTCAGATAAGAATCTTTCAGTAATAGGGCAGGGAAATGTTAAAAAAATTTTACACCTCTCAAATTATTAATTAGACCAACTTGAAAAGTACTGCAACTTGTACCATAACCATCTTGAAATTTTTAAAAGTTTGCCCTTTTTCTAAGTATAATTAAGAAGAGATACAGGCTAACACAAAGAGATTCATTAAAAGGCATCTGAGCTGCTAGACAGTTTTATAAAGCAGAATCAGTGATACAATCTTTTCATTTTACATCTAGATACAGACTGCAGTACCTGAGTTTGAGAAAATTTCTGTTATTTTTAGGAGGAGAGACTAAGAGTAATGGAAAGACAAAAAGTAACCAGAGTCTGGAGTTGGTATATAAGTCAGACTAAAATCTGCCTTGCAAATAGACATCCCATTAATACTGAAATATTTTCAGTTTTAAGGTTTGTTTATAAGATTATGAGAACTTACAAGTTATAAAATAAGTTACCTAAGAAAATTACTTGGTCAATTAGATACCTCTGGAATAAGCACTCCCAAGTCTGAAACAACACCATTAGGGGGGCAATGCTTTAAGTGTAATATCTCAAAGAACAGTAATTAGTAATGGATGGTCATCTATATGTAAAGATCTTTTGCAAAATATTTCAAACAGCAAGTTACAGTGAATTGCACAGCAGAAGTACTTTACCCTCCAATGGGACAAGACTCTGCACCAGAAGTCAACTTCACATTTGAAGGAGAAATTGGAAAGAACCCAGATGAAGAAGACAACACATTTTATCAAAGACTCAAATCCATGAAGGAACCACTAGTAGCACAAAATATTCCAGGTATGTAAATATGGAATGGAAAAATAGTTTTTCAACTTTAAGGTCAATATCAATTACCTGTGTTCAAAATTGTTAGTTGTTAACACTATGCTGGAAATATACTGGCTTTTGCAAAAATATTCAGTACTAATCTAATTCAACAACAACAAAAAAGGCCTTGGGACTTTTAGATCAATCCATGGCTTAATTAAATTATTTTCTGCACACATTTGAAGAAAACTAAGATATGACTTAGAATTTAGATTCTTTAAAAGGTTAAATTAATACTGCATATATAAGTAATTCCGTTTACCATATATATGTTTCCCTCACCAGACAGTTTTGGAAATGTACCTCCGGAAATGAAGCCAGTTCGATATTTAGCGTGGGTTGCCTCTAGTTATATAATATGGCAGAATTCTACTGAAAATACATGGTATAAAATGGCAAAAATTCAAACTGTCAAGCAAGTGGTAAGTAATTTCTATAAACTACACTCTTAACAGGGTTAATATTTACTGACAGTGTTATAATTCATGACTGAATAGTGCCCTTTTAGTCATTTTTGTATTTAAAATAGTGAACCTGGTATTTGAAAGAGAGAACAGTTATCAAGGCCAGAGAAGGTGAAGCTGGTTTCAAGAGATTGAAGTCCTGAGTTATAAATAATTTGGCAATGGTTTTTGTGCATAGCTAATACAGATTATTTCCTATGGCAACATAAATTTTGTGTTCAAATCACTATAGTCATGCGATACTGAAACTACTTCTGCTTTTTTCCTCTACTGAAATGGCAGTGCCAGAGCTAGAGATATGGCTGGAATTTTTTGCCCCCCGGATCAGCCAGAACAAAAATATTAGCATCTCAATCTTTGTGAAGCTTGCTGATATAATTTTCTTTTAAAACCCTGTTAGTCATAATTGACGACCTCTTCTTGTTAACTTTGTGTTTTAAGTCTGATATGACTATTTCAAACTGCTTCTTTCTAGACCTTGAAGAGAGAAAAATAAATTGAGTTTAACCTTATTAAGAGGTTTAAGAGAAAAAAATATGTCAACTAGTAGTATTTAATGGAATAAAGGAAAAAAAGTGCAAAGAAACCACAAGAGTTGCAGTCATCTCCGTAGGAGAAAAGGACTTTCCACTTGATTTGTTTCAGCTTGCTGATAACAAACTGCAAGACAGCCGGAGCACCTTTACTCCACAGGCTCTTTCAACTACTTACTAGATCCCCTTGGGCACTGGAGGGCAGGTACCCAATTACGGTACTCAGAGCGTGATGTCAAATACCTACATCACTATTACAACATTTTAAGAGAGCCTTTTTCTAATGCATGGTAATAGATAGCAACCTTGGTTACAACACTCCTATAGGGACACTGAGGCCTCAGATAATTGAGTAGCTGGTCCAGGTTACAGAAGATACACAATCTTTTTATAGAAGAATGTGCACAAGACAGTGTCAGTAGTTTCATGAAAGAAAAAGCCTAAAAACCTGCACCAAACTGCAGTTTTAAAGTATTAATGAAAATTCCAATAGAAGTGTTTAATAATATATACAGTGCTTCAGGGTGTATATATTACGTATCTTTACCTATTAAGAGCCAACATATAAGAAACCTTACTGATTTTGACCTTATTCTGAAAGGACATTCTTTGTTGATATAGTCAAAGAAAGGACTGCTTCCAGATACTGTAAGGAGGGACTAGTATAGTTTCATCTGCTCCTGGGGCCACGTTTGTAATTACTGTTAGCCGAAGGAGCCACAGGAGTTTGTGTTGCCTCTTAGAGTTCAGAGCTTGTTTCAATACATCAATTACAAGCCTTAAAGAGCCTTGTGTAAGTAACAGCAAATCTCTGATAATCATGGTTTTAAACTATGTAGAAGCAGTATTTCTGTGTATAAAGTATAAAGACTTTAATATGCCCAAAGCAGTTAGCAGCATAGATCAAAGCTTTTCACAAAATCAAACATGACATTTATTATTTCCAGTTTTTAAGAGAATTTCTATTATAAAATTGGTTTTCTTTAATGTAAACACTCATTTTATTAGTTTATCCCTTATATTATGCTTTTCTGAACAATGGAAACATTAAGGAATCTTAAATGACAAAATTATAGACTGTAATGCTCTTATCTAGCTACCAGAACTCAGAAACTAAAAACAGAAATGGTAAATGACTTTTAGTGTAACAAACGAGTGAACTGTGATTTTAAAATGTGGTTGGAAAGAAATCTTATTTAGAAGAGAATAGTTTTTCTGTCAGGCTAAATAAATTATGACATTCAATTTTTATTTTTACTTAAGTGGAAGTGTTATCATCATCTATTAAGAAAAGCTGGTTTTTAAAATACAAATATCATTTTTGCCAATGATATTAAGTTCTAAATGCCAGGGTTTTTTTTAATTATAGCAAAGAAATGATGACTTCATTGAGCTGGACTACACCATCCTACTTCATGACATTGCATCTCAGGTAGAGTATCAGTTATCTTTATTTGACGCCATTTTCAAAATTAAGACTTGTTTTGTAGCCACAGTATGCCTTATTAATTTTGACTCTAAATCAGAATTCCTGTCAATTCAAACAGGCACCAAGATGAAGTATACTACAGTTATAGCAATTTAACTTGTTTTATGCTGTCTTTGAGGACTGTTTTGTCTCTAACAAAATATAAATCTGTTTTCTTGAATGTTTTCTAAATTTCATTATAGCATCAATTTCCTTTACTTGCAGGAGATAATTCCTTGGCAAATGCAAGTTCTGTGGCATCCACAATATGGTACTAAAGTAAAACATAACAGCCGTCTGCCAAAAGAAGCACGGTTGGAGTAAATGAAGACCCTACCACCGGATGAAGTGTAAACATGCTTATTAATGACGTGTGTGCCAGTCTTCATTGACATCTACCTTAAGGGGCCAGATGAATCCCAAAATTGTCACTCTGTATAAATGGCTTAATTATAGTACCAGAACTATATAGCTTCCATAATAAAGAGTGTCACCATGGAAAGTGTCTTATCAACAGTAACAGTGCTATGTATATCCCATAATAAAAAGCTCTCAATTCCAGCCTTCCAGTATGTTTAATTGTGTTGCATACTTACGGGACAGGGGCAGTAATGGTCTCTCTGAAAGCAACTTTTGGCTTTCCTGTGATACATGGACAGCCATACTCTCTTTCCAACCTCTTAAAAAAAAGCAGGAGATCATTTTTTGGAATATTTAAATTGAAACAAACAAAAAACTAGAAGAAAAATCTAAGAATCTTAACTACCTTAGAAGCATTCATTTAAATATGATAAGCAAATGATAAATCTTAAATCATTTACAAGCCTTGTGAGGATAAATATGTGATACTAAACAATATAAACTGCTTTTATAGATTTTATATAAATGAATTCTAATTTAGACTGATTAATTTACACTTACTCCAATTAATTAATCTATCCACTAAAACTTCACCTTTGTTCCATCTTATTACATATTCACTGGCATAGCTTATGAATATGCTGTCAGAATTTTCTACTATCTCAACTCCAGAGACATAATCACAACCAGAATTTATAATCGTTAAGTCACATATATTTTGTTTTCATTCATATACACAGAAGAACTTTCCTAGGAAAGTACAAGCCCCACCTACCCATTCATTTATCTACGTTATAACCATCTCCCAGTACTAACTTAAGAAAACAGGTAAGAAACAGCCTGAAGTGTGGCCCCTGGTGCACCGACCTCCTCAGCCGGTTTCCTCCTGCAGGTTTCTCCCCAAGGCTGAGACCAGGATATACTTGACCTAACCAACCATGATCTGGGAGATGATGGATGGTCTTATTGCAAGTCCCCTGAACCTTGATTCTAGAAGTCCGCAATGTTTTACAAATAAAAAGATTTAGAAATCAAAAGTGATTAATCTGTAACACAAAGTGGAGGATACCACATCTGAATACAAACAAGAGTGAGCTTGAAGAACCGCTATTAGTTTACAAATTGAGAATTATTAACCTTTACTCTTACAAAACACAAGACATAAATAAAGTGAATTTAACTTCCTTCTTATTCATTACCTGAGCATAGATTTCCAGATGTAATTCTCCCATTCCAGATACAATTGTCTCCTTGCTTTCAGTGTCAAAGTGGACTTTAAATGTTGGATCTTCTCTTGTAAATCTGCCAATACCTTTTGAAAATTTTTCCAGATCATTCTTTAAAAAAAGAAAATCATTACACATTTTATTAAGCATGACAAGCGATGAAACTATTGAAACAACTGAATGAAATCAAATACATAAGCAGTTAAGAAATAAAAATGGTCCACCACCTAATTCCTAGGCCCTTTTAATATGTGAGCTTGGATACAACACAGCCAAGAAAGCAAAGAATAGTAAACTGACAGACTCTTCTTTTCACACTAAGACACAACATAAAAGTCTAAGACTTAACTCTATGCCCTTTTCTATTATATTGACAAAAACTGTACATTTGTGAAAACTGCCCATGAAGTGAAGAGGAGAATCTGTGTTACTGTGTTATATTTTAGAAATCCTACACACAATCAAAGGAATCAGAATGTTTACCAAGATTCCACTGTAGATTCAAGAAGACAGTAAAGACCAACACCAAGCAAATGCTCGTTGAAACTTCTCCCTTTCAAACAACCTGCTTGGATGTGGTCTGATGCACCTTTATTCTCCTATGTGGTAAGCAGAATAATGGCCTTCTAAGGACAGCCCCTAATCCGCTCAAACCTGTGACTGTTACCTTACACGGTAAAGGGGCTCTGCAGCTGTGATTAAGGTTACAGACTATGAGATGGGGAGATTATGAATAATCCGGATGGGCTGAACATAATTCACATGGGCCTTTAAAAATGGAAGAGGAATGCAGAAGGGTAGGTCAGAGATAGGAAGAGGGAAAGAAGAGACAGGAGACATTTGAAGCATGAAAGGGGCTCATTTTGCAGTTGGTGGCACTGAAGACAGTAGGAAGGCGGCTACGAGCCTAGGAAGGTGAGCAGTCTCTGGGAGCTGGGAATAGCCCTCAGATGACAGCCAGCAATGAAATGGGGACCCCAGTTCTACAACCACAGGGGCTGAATTCTGCCCACAACCTGAGTAAGTAAGGAAATAAATTTTTCCCTAGAGTCTCTATCTAGAAGGGAACTTGCCAATATCTTGATGTTAGCCCATTAAGAACTGTGTCAGATTTCTGATCTACACCACTGTAAAATAATACATTTGTGCCATTTTAAGTCACTAAGTTTGTGCTAATTTCTTACTGCACCAATAGAAAACGAACATGCCCTGAATCACCAGTATTACAGCTATCACATGTGGCTGAAGATGTTTTTGTTTTGTATATGTTATCTCAAATTCTAACCACACGACTGCAAGACAGAACCATCCACATTTACAGGTGAGGAAACTAGGTACAGAGAAGTTAAGTGACTTGCTCAAAGCCACACAGCTAGTGCATGGCAAAGCGGATACTGACTCCTGGCTTAGTCTATTTCCAAAGTCTTTCCCTTTTCCCTGTACTAGCCAGGGACTCTCAACTCACTAGGTCATCCCTGCCTCACTACTGGGATTCACAGCCTTATACAGAGACTTCATTATTTGATTTGTATTAATTCTCCAGCAAGCAGACAACTCAAGACACCAAAAAAGCCTTCTGAATATTGATGCATTTGATATCCCCTCATTGTTGTGAACTCTCAACAGTTAAATGTCTTACATAAACTCTGAATTTAGGAATAAAGTAACATAACATCTTTAATTTCTAGCCCTTCATCTTCTGAAGGAAAAAGTGACCAATTTGGCAAAATATTTGGAACAAACTGTGGCATCTCACTGTGGTAAGATGTAAGGCTTGCTTTCCCTCACATTCCTGAGATGGAGTGATTAAATGTTTCTTGCCACCTCAACATTCTTTCTTCTATAATGAGAAGGGCCTGGAAAATCTCAAGTTCCTCAAAATAGATGAAGTAGTAGCTGTTAAAGTATCCACAAGACCATAAATCAGAATACATTCTGTAAATGATGGTTCCCAGATGACAAGAGATCATAAAATGTTTACTCAGTGCACAAATGAGTTAATTGCAATATACCACATTAACATGAGAGTTATGACTGTCAAGGCAACTTAAGAACTACACAATTATGGTTCACAATCAGGACTAATTCCAAAGGCAAGCAATGTGAATGCAGAACCTATTCAAGCAATTTGGCTAAAAAGCTAAATGACACCAAATCCAGTCATAAAACTTATATTTGAAAGTGAGAAAAACGGTCTTGTTCGCAGACCTTCCATGTTATAATCAGACATTTACTTCATAACTACCACAGATGTAGAGATGCATTATAATCCACGAGGCAATTAATCTACACAATATTCTAATATACTTTACAGTGAGGTTTTTCTACAACTGAGGACAAATGCCCCAGTTTCCCCCTTTCCATCCCATTATGATCTGAATCTAGGAAGTTACAACTAACACTCTGGAGCCAATGATACATGTTTAGTATAGTGAAGAGTTACAAAGCAGGCTCATGAATATTATAATACCATCAACTTTTTCAAATATACTGAGGAGTACTTACTAATAGACTGGTAAATTTTAACAGATGATCTGAATACCAAAAGAGGAAATCAAAACCATAAGACTGCTGGTTATCACAAGAGAACATATACATTGTGGACAGAGATGAAAAAGAGCTCAAGTTTTTATTGTGGTATGCTGAGCATTAAACTCCTACCTTGTTAGAAGGCTTCATTGCTATTGAAATAACAGGATCAGGAACATGAATGGACTCCTGAAATATTTTTAAAAGAACAGAGGATTCAAATACAGTACTGTCTGTGTCAGAGATGGATTAGTATTAATGTTCTACTTTACAAGAGAACAAAAGACAAACATTAGTCAACATCTTTAGGCTAGACAAAATGTATCTTGGTCTGTTTTGCATTAAATAAACAAATATATTAATAAAGATGTCTACTTATATCCTCTTCTCCCTCCCAAAATAACAATAGAGTACCTGTTTACTTACTTGTTTAAGACCTTTAAGTTTGTTGACACTTTGTTTAACATGATCATTATAATGAACCCAAATGCCGAAATATGGAATTCCTATTGGCTAGTGGCTACATTTTCTATAGCTATCGTCTGATAAGTTACTTTATTTAATCAAAATATACTACAATCACAGTTAAGAGAAACAGAGAAAGGGACTAGATTCTTTATAAACGATACCTCATTTAATCAATCACAACTCTGAGAGGCAGATATTATTATCCCCATTTTACAAATAAAATCATTAAAGGCTTGGCAAGAAGAAAAAAATGACCTGGCCAAGGGCCAGTAGGTAGCTTAGGGTAGAAGTGAGACTCTGATCAATATCTATTTGCTTCAAAGCCTGAGTGTTTCCCTAAACCTCCAGTCCGTTCATACTGCTGATGGCAAGTTTGGAAAAAGCCTTATCAATAATACTGATTAAAGAAGTTCCCTTATCTAGGTCTCCCCAAAACATTTATAGATTTATTTAAGATTTCTGTAGTGTCCTAGCTCAACATGTAAAACCACAGACAGTAGAGAGTATTCTATATAAAAAAGCTAAATTACAAAATAAAGAATTCATCACATGATACAAGGCCATTACAATGCTCATCTGTTAGGGAGGGACCAGTTCTTACATAAAGGACCCACTGTACACTCCTTCACTGCAAATCACCTATCACCTCTGTACTCATACTCTTCCCTTACTGAATTCAGGAGAGGAACCACCCTCATGAACAGTCATAGTGTAGAAGAGCCTGCTCTCCTGTAGGGGCAAAAATGGGGAGTAAGGGAAGGTGACTGAAAGGCAGGAAAAGCATGCTGTTTCCTTCAGGCTCTGGGAGTGATGAAAAAGGACCTACGAGTTCCACAAGGCAGGCTGTGTGCAGTAAGCTGGACTGTCCAGCTGCATCTCGCATTTGAGGTGTGGTTCCACTCTATCCTAATAACCCCAAGTCTACTGTAAATGTTACAGCCCGCTCCTATGGTTCTCTAGGGGACTGAAGGAAGGGCTCACTCTCTGGCTGCTGAGTTAATAAGGAAGCAGTAGTCAGCTGGGACTAGCCTGATGATGGTGACAGCAATTAGAGAAGCGCCCACAACGGGGAGGCAGGTTTCAGGACACAGGAGTCACAGCTACACAGTCCCAGTGTGTTGAGTGAAGATTTTTCCTCCATGTTAAACCTTGGGAGATCGTGGAATGATTTTACTAAGAAAAACCAGGTAAGTTAGCTAATCCAGAGCACTTGTTTAACTGACATTAAAAGAGCCACAACAAATCTACACTGGATGCCTATGGCACTAAATGAAAACATCTGTGGTTGTTTTTCTAAAGTACTAAAACACAAACTTTTGAAACTCAAGTGATAAACAACTTTGAAATTCAACGACTTACCATAGAAAGGCCACTACTGTCTTTGTTTGTGAATGTGTCTCCACTAGCACAGTCAATGCCAAACAATGCACAGATGTCTCCGGCAAACACTTCCTCAACATCCTAAATAAATAACACAAAATGATACTTGCAAGTAATACAAATCAGGACATAGTAACTAAAAAGTAACTGCACAATAAATACAGTGTACAAAACAAACATGACAGAATCTAACCATGAATTCTACAAAGGAGAAATTAGCTAGAATCAATGCAACACCAACAATCAACCAGGGTAAGATATACCTTAAACAGAGCCTTTATTAAAAACACATCTCAATTGACAAGATTTTACCTTAAATGGAAACTAAGAGCTATGGCATCTTTACTTGAAGGATCCGCAGTACTGACAGAACACAGAGCCTCACGTTTCTAAAGTTATTTCTATAGAATTAAAAAGTATGTAGTACCATATGTGCTGCCACAGTCCAACAATGAGATGTGTATGACAAAGGCATACGAGGAAAACCGGCAAAGGAAGTTTTGAAAACAAAGGTAGGAGAATGGAGCCCACTGTACTTAAAATAATCTTAATTTCTCACAGATGCAAGCAGTTAAGAAAACACAGGAAATCTAAGAACAAAGCACTGGTGCCTCTAAGCTTCCTGGCCTTTGTCTTTTTATTGACAGTTCATTCATAACAGCTGTGGCTGTGAATAACCAAGTGTGTGTGGCTTGTTTTCATGAGCACACAGCGGTACAGACCTCTTAGCGTCTGGCCCATGAAAGAGCTGTGACAATCACTAATCCCACTAGCCTGCCCCCTGCTGCCTATCTCAAAAACAGCAATGATGTTCGATTTTGGGAGACTGTCTACTAATTTTCTAGGAGATACAAAAGTTATGGCCACCCAAAATTTCTGAATGTCATAAGATTTTGCTTAGATTAATAAATTTCTCCAGGAGTGTAGCACTGAATTGGAAAAGGGTGCAAGAAGGAGACAACTTCACATACTTGGTATTCCTGCCAAGGCCTAACCTAATGAGCCACAAAGGTGAGGACGGATTCAAAGCCAATTCAAGAATTCAAGCGATAAGCCAAAGTTTATCTCCCAGACCAGACCTGGAGGTTTTAAATCTTCAGATGGATTCTAGCACCAATATGGCCTTTCCATGAATACAAAGTTCTAGGGTTAAACAGAGCCTTCACACCTTTCACTTTTCAGGAAGCAAATCTATTATTGAACAATGTGGGAAGCTGTATGTGAATTTATTCCACTGCCCTAAAAACCTATTATACACTTTATAAAGACAGCCCTTAGGGAAAGTGCTGAATCTTGTGTTCTGAATCTCAGGGAAATAATAATCCCCTGTCCTTAACACTGGCAGCTGAGGAAATACAGCTAACTCATAAATGGTGATATAAAACGTATTCTTAACATGTGCTAATTTAGCCCATACCAAAGTGCTACCTCAGAACTGCAGCACACCTAATTAAAGAAAAGGGAAGAAGCTAGGAAAACACGTTCAACTGGAAGCAACTTTCTTGTGAGGCTCAAGATATCAAGAAGGCAGACCTACTTTAGGTGTGTCACAGAAATTTCTGATCTCACAACAATGGCTGGGCACTTGCCTCCATCATGTCGGCGTGCATGCGAACCAGCCGTTGCACCCGCACTTTCTTTCTTGTCCTCGTATTATAGATGGTGTCACCCTTCTTCAGTTCTCCTTGATAATTGCGAACATAAGTTAACTGTCCAAATCGACCTGCCTAGAAGTCAAAATTGGGTAAGGGCAGAAGGAATAAAAAACAAACATAGGAATCAAAATTAAGAGGAAAACTTCACAATTACCTCCAAATATTCCCCATCACTTTTAGTAGTACAACTTATATACTTGTTTCAGTTTATCATCATAAACTACTTTAATAGTAGTTTTGAATTCAGTAAGTTCAATGGTTGCTGTTTTTGGTATCACAATCCAAGATACTACTTCTGTTTCCTCTGAAATAAAAGTTATTAGAAAGTTTTAAATTATTTATATAAGTTATTTCATAAGTTCAGTTTAATACAATAAGACATAAAAGTAAGGTATAACTATTAGAAAGACAACAAAAATATCATTAGAAATGGTAAGACCATATACTATACATGTAAAAAAGACTGATAATCACTTGGAAAACTATACAAGAGCTCTGCAAAAATGACTGAATATAAATGAATAATCAAGGATCATTTCCTCGTGAATATAACAATAGCCTATTAGATATGTATTTAAAAGTTGCCAATTCTTCCCACTTTAATTTATAGGTTTAACACAACAGCACTCAAAATCTCAAGAGTAATTTTTTAAAAATTTGGTTAGTAATTTTAAAACTCATTTAGAAGAACGGGTAAAAATAGAAATTTCTGAAAAACTATGGCAATGAAAAGAAAATAACTCTGACTGATATAAAAACATATTAAATACTCCAAGGCATAAAATGCATAAAACTAGCACAAATTAAACAGAACAGCCCAGAGAGTACAGTATAAGTATCTAAAATGTTTAATCCATTTGTCAGTGGATGATAAAGGAGACATGACAATCAATGGAAAAGGATAACATTATTCAAAAACTGTTAACTGGACAATTGGTCTTCTATTTGGAGGTAGAGGAGATACATTCAGATACCACCTTATAGCCTTCAGCAAAACAAATTCCAGTTGGGTTAATAATGGAAAAGAAAAACAGAAAAAAGGAGAAGAAACAAAAGTATTTATAAAAGATACTCAAAGAGGAAGATTTATAAGGTTAAAAATGAGAAAATGACTAAAGACAAAGACTGATATATCTGACTATATAAATTTTAAACTAATTGTTTTTCAAAAAATTTTATTAGAGAAAGCTCATACAAACAGATAAGTAAAACACTGACTCTAATTTTAAAAAAGGAAAGACAAAAGAAATAGAGATAATTACAAAAGAAGAAATACAACTACATAATAAATATATGGAAAAATGTTCTTTCATTAGGAATTAAGGCAAGATGATATATTAAAATACCATTTTCATTTGTGAAATGAGTAATATTTTTAATAAATACTCAATGCTGATAGATTCACTAAAATAATAATCTAAATATGTACATGAATTCTGAGAGTATAAAAGCAATCTGGCAATATAAATCATTAAGTATTAAAGTATTCCATATCTTTTACTCAATAACTGCTATTCTGAGGAACCGAAGAAAATATTCCTAAATACATAATTCTTAAAAGCTTTAAGCATAAAAATTGTCACTGCAATGTTATTTCTACTTTTTAATTTAAAATTACTTTTTCTGGAATTGAACAGGCATTTTTCCAAAGAGGAAATGCAGATATGAAAAGATTTTCAACATCGCTAATTATCAGGGAAATGCAAATCAAAACCACAATGAAGTATCACCTCACACCAGTCTGGCTATCATCAAAAAGAACACAAATAATAAATGTTGGTGAGGGTGTGGAGAAAAGAACTCTCGTACACTATTGGTAGGAATGTAAATTGGTGCAGCCACTGTGGAAAACAGTTGGAGCTTTCTCAAAAACTAAAAATAGAGTCACCATATGACCCAGCGATTCTACTTCTGGGTACATATCCAGAAAAACCCCAAAACTCTAATTTGAAAGGATACCTGCACCCAATGTTCATAGCAGCACTATTTACAATCACCAAGATATGGAAGCAACCTATGTGTCCAAAAACAGATGAATGGATAAAGAAGACGTGATGTACAGATACACAGGAATATTTTTCAGCCATAAAAAATGAAATTTTGCCACTTGCAACAACATGGATGGACTTGGAGGGCATTATGCTAAGTGAAACAAGTGAGACAAAGAAAGAAAAATACTGTATGATACCACTTACCTGTGGAATCAAAAAATACAACAACAAACTAGTGAATAAAACAAAAAAGAAGCAGACTGACAGATATAAAGAACAAACTAGTGGTTACCACTGGAGAGACAGAAGTAGGGGAGGGGCAATATAGGGGTAGAGGGAAAAAAATGGTTATTATGGGATTATATGAAATCACGTGTGTGAAACTTTTGAAAATTGTAAAGCACTATAGAAATTAAAGAATTTTTTATTTAATAAAAAGAAATAAAATTACTTTTTCTGATTTTAGAATATTATAAAAATTTAAAAATAAAAAGTACAAAAACTCCCCACCCCCAATTATAATTCCATTCCAAAAATAACCAGTCTTTAAAACCTCCAACTTACTCATCTTTTTTCCACTTAAAGTATTATGAACAGAAGCAAAAACACCACAATAAAAAGCACAGCCAGTCCCTAAATCTTGGTTTCTAATGCCGTTTACTTTAAAAGGGACGAGGGCTCCTAAAAAGACAGCTGTCTCTAGGGCTGGAGCAGGGAATATACAAGATAAGACAGGAGCACCCTGTAGTGCCAGGAAGTAAGGAAGTATTTAAAAAAAAAAAAAAAGCAAAATACCAGGGAATGTCAAATGGACACAGAAGCCAACTGAAAGAGTTCCAGTGGCCAAATCTGGCCAATCTGGTAACAAAATAAGTAACGTACTACTGGATTATAATTCAAAAGTACAAAATAAATATCCCTGAGTCTATACTGATAAAAAAAAGAATCTGAAATAACTCATATGTAGATACTGCGCCCTCAAGGAGTAAGAGCATTATCCCCAACCCTTGATGTAGGCTATGCATAGTAACCTCCTCCTAAAGACTCAGTATGGAAAAGGGGGGGAGGGATGGGGAAGAGTAATTTTACAGTGGAGAAATCTATAACCAAATCTTTCCTATGAATCACTGTGTAATAGGAATAAAAGCTTAAAAGAAAAGAATATTTCTACATATAGCAGTTAAATACAATAGAAAGCAACTTACCTCCAGTTTAAAAGCCAGGCCTACAAATGGGTGGGAATTGTCTCTTTTGGAGTTCATTAAGATTTTGGTTTTCTCTTGTGAGTCACTTAAAACAAAAGAAATATACATCTATGAGATGTAATATTTGATATTTCTTTTATATCAGTTTTTTCATCAGAGTTTACCTGAGAAAAAGCACATGTGTACTAAACATTTCTGAGCTTACACATAAATGAAAGTTCACTGAAAGAGAGCAATAAAAATTACTTGTCTGGACTTAGTTATTATACTTTGATAGGTGCAGAGTAGAATGAAAAACACAGAAATGGTCTTCTAGAAAAAGAAAGCCAGAGAGCTTAAAAATTTTTGTTTTAAAGCTCTTTTTTTAATATGACTGGTCCCAAATGAGAAAATTTTCTAATGATACAAACCTTGATAGATAATGGAACAAATCATATTTCTAATTTACAAATAGAACATGATATGGGAAGGTGTAATAAGTATTTTTCTACTATGCCAAAATTGTTAACCAAATAGAAACGGAGGTTGGTTTTTGTAAATTAAGAAAAAAACGAAAACCCACAAGTACAGCAAAACTACAAGAACAATTCTTAAATTCTTCCACAGTGCATAAACTAAGATTATTTCCAAGACTTACTCCTGATTGAGAATAGCGTAATTCTGGACTTCTGATGGATCTGGGAGGTATTCTAAAACAGCATCTAAAAGTGGCTGAACTCCTTTGTTCTTCAAGGCACTTCCCAAAAAGACAGGAGTAAATGATCTATTTAGAGTAGCTCTTCGAATTGCAAGCTACACAAGAAAAAATATTTAATGATTTAGTTTATCTTATAATTGTATTTGGTGTTTCAGATCAATTAAAAACCAACAAATGAATGAAATGAATTGATACTCTTTGGAGTACTGGCTCCAGTGGACACTAGAATCAGGTCCTCTATAAATTAAAGTCAAAATTAAAAAAAAAAAAGCTATTTAACTGTGCAATTGCTTTTAACATTCCTGGAATGTCACTAACTTTAAATCTGCCCCCCCCAAATATATATATAGACACACACACAGAACCATATAAACAGTATGCTAACAATTGTGTAAAATAGAGGGAAAAGCAATATATATACCAAAAAAAAACCAAAAAACAAAAAACCACACATCAGAAACTATTAATTGACAATCTGTTTTAGGGACGGGGCAGAGAACTAGGCAGATGGGCGCCAGGTGGGAGACTTTTTACTGTGTTTTTAATTTAGGTTTTAAATGTTTAAACCATATAAAAGTATCATCTTTTAAAAAACATTAAATTAATTGATTTGTTTTCTTTTTTTCTTTTTTAAGAATGTACATACAGGAAACAAACAGTACAAACTACCCATTATTTAAGGGCCATGACAGTAACAGGCTCTAAAATAACGACCTCCGGGTCTTGTCCTCAACCCATCGTGCGTGTCCCACTCTCGCTCCTCAGGGGCTACTGGCGAAAGCAGGCCTCCGAGCCAACAGTGCAGTTTTAGCTCTAGCAGCTGGCAGAGGCCAACAGCTGTGCTGTGGCCACAACACCCCCACCACAGAAATACAGAGCAGCATGCAATTATTTCTCAGTCCTCAGGAAAAAGCAGAAAACGAGTTATCCCCAAAAAGCTTAAATCAAAACATTCATAACCACAATTGCTAAACATCACAAGGAAAAGCAGGGTAACAACTGAGCACAATAAAAGGAATATAAAAAAGGAAAAATAAGCATGGCAAGAAAGCAATTACTATTTGAAACTATCTTAAAAACTTGCTTTTGTTGTTGCTAAGAATCAGTAATGGCCAGGTCATTGACCACTGAGGCTACCCTAGGCCACAAGGTCCATCTTTGACTTTACAACCCTCTCTTATATGTAAAAGTAGGGACGTAGGAATCTTACCAGTGTTTTTCCCTGAAATTTCTCCTTATTTGTATCAGAATCATATTTATACTTGAAAATTGTTGCCTTTCTACTGTCCCTAATACTATATATCCAACAACAATACAGAAACTAAACTACATCTATGTATCCTGTGGAAAAAACAGTAAACATAGCAGGACTGAAACCACTTCCTTAGAAAGGCTTGCCTGCAAGGCTGGTCCCTGGCTGGAATCTGGAGACTTGAATTTCAGAGGGTTCCCAGCATTCCCAGAACTGGTAAGACTAGCTCATTGTGCCTATGCTGTTTGTACAAAAAATACGTTGTGTGCTAAACACCTGCTTTCCTTCTGGGAGTCTGGAATTTGGTACATGCAGAGGGTGTCTATGTAACCAGCCCCAATAAAACCCTGGGCACTGAGTTTCTAATGAGCTTCCCCGGTAGACAACATTTCACAGGTGTAGTCTTAACTTGTTGCTGAGGAAACAGGCACACCCTACGAGGAAACAGACGTCACTTGGAGACGCCGCCTGGAAGCTTACACCTGGCTTCTTCTGAACTTCACCTCACGTGCCTCCTTCCTTTGCTGATTTTGCTTTGTATCCTTTCACTAGAATGAATCATAGCCACAAGTACAATTATGTGCTAAGTCCTTACTCATAGTGAATCACAGGATCTGGGAGTGGTCTTGAGGACCCCTGACACATTCCCTTTAATAGATCAAAGCCTAACTCCCTGTTGTGGTTTCCAGGATACAATCTTGACTTTAAGGTCAGACCTATACCTTCCTACATGGTGTTCCTTACTCATCAGAGAGCTGAGGAGATAAGGCCTTTATGAATGGTAAAGGACTCTCAGATATATTAGTAAGCATCTCAGCTTCAACAGGGTTCTTTCCTTGTGCATGTGATTTATAAATTCCTTGAGTACAATGTCTTACAAACAATAATTACTTATCTGATCTCTGCTAAGTGCACCAAGTGGTTTGGCAAAATAAGTATCAGTCTTATTTTATTATAAAATATACATAAAATTGACCATTTTTAAGTGTACAGTTCAGTGGCATTAAGTATGTTCACATTGCTGTTACCACTATCCATGTCTAGAACTTTTCATCAACCTAAACTGAAACTCTGTGCTGATTAAACTCCCTATTCTGCCTTCCCCCAGCCCCTGGTAACCCCTATTTCACTTTTCTGCCTCTAGGAATTTGACTGTTCTGGGTACCTCATATAAGTGGAATCCTAAAATATTTGTCCTTTTACGTGTGGCTTATTTCACTTAACATAATGTCCTCAAGGCTCATCTATGTTGTAGCACGTATCAATCTGATTCCTTTTTAGGGCTGAATAATACTCCATTGTATGAATATACCAAATTTGTTTATCCATTCTTCCACTGATAGACACTGGGTTGTTTCCATCTTTTGGCCACTGTGAATCGTGCTACCATCAACACTGGTACACAAATATCTGTTTCAGTCTCTGCTTTCATTTCTTTTGGGTATACAGAAGTGGAATTGCTGGATCATATAGTAGTTATATATTTAACATTTTTGAGAAACCACCATACTGTTTTCCACAGCAGATGGAAACCACATCATTTTACACTCCCACCAGCAATGCACAAGAGTCCCAAGTTCTCCACATCCACATCAACTCCTGTTGTTTGTTTTTTTGAATAACTGCCATCCTAATGAATAAAGTGGTATCTCACTGTAGTTTTGTTTTCCCTAATGATTAGCGATGTTGAGCACCTTTTCATGTTCTCACTGGCCATTTGCTATCTCTATGGAGAAATATCTATTCAAAAAGTGAATACCAGTCTTAGGCAAGGCTCTTTATTTTTAAAGAGTTGAACAATCAAGTGAAGGAATCCACATGGCCTTCCAAACAGCACAATAGTGCAAGGACCAACATTTAGTCTGCAAATATTTAACTGCTTTGCCTCTAAAGCTGTCTTATTGCTGTAACATTGCTAGTTTATCTTCTTTCTTCTTAACAAGGATATGCCCAAGAGGTAGGCAGTTTAAGTATCTTTTTGTCTAGAAAAAACTTTGACTTTTCCCATTGCAAGATATTACATAACTCACTATTTTAAAAAAATGCCATGTCAAGTATTTTTTGAAGAAACCAATTATAGTCAATAAAATTACTCAGATTTCATTAATAAAACTCTGCATAGAAGCATCATGTCCCCTCCCTGTAAAACAAAAGAAAACAAAAAACCTTTTTCTTATTAATATAAGACATATTTTGAGAGCACCTGCCTTCAAATCAGAAGTTGAGGGAATTTTTTCTTCCAGAAACATCTCACCAAGTTGCTCATCTGAATTTGCAACACATTCAATCAGCTCCTGCCTGTGGTCAGCTGCTGCCGCCCTGAATTCTGCTGGAATCTCCTCATATCGAACAACCTGACTAAGAGTAGAAATGTTTTATTTTGGTACTTTAAAAATATTCAATTAAACATATAAACCACCAATGAAAAAAATAAAGAGTTCTGATATATTTGTATTAAAATGGCAAATAAAACTAATGTACATTTTCTAAATTCAGATGGAACAATGGGCAAAATACTATAAACAGGCAAAGCAAATTGCTCAAGGTTATACTATTAGTAAATGGATGGGCCAAGATTCAAAGCCTGTCTGACTCCAAAGCCCATGAGTACAGTTGACCCTTGAACAACAAAAGTTTGAATTGTGTGGGTCCACTTATACGTGGATTTTTTCAATAATATGCAAAATATGTGTGTAGAACATTGTGTGCAAGACTGGCATTGAAGTGGATAGCCTAGCCTTACATAGGTATAAGGTGAGTGATATTTAATATAAAATTAATAATGTGTTCATTTTCTTACTGTTTTATAACTTTGCTTTCAAAGAATTACATTACTGTACAGAATGCCCTTCTCTCTCTCATAACTGGAGAAACTGTATCATCATAGGTAAGAAAAAAATTAAATAGTAACAATGTTTCTAATACTGTATTATGAATATGATTGTAATATCACATGCAATAAAAATTTTATGATTCATTAATTAGCTTATAGTCTAGGCTACTGTGAATCAATCATATCAATTACCACAGGTTACCATAAAGCAATCATAATGCTACTTCTTATCAATGCATGAATCATTATACCTGTAATTAAATATCAATTTCTTCTCATATTGCCTTTTCATTTGTGATACCTACTGTTAGTAATACACATAACATCTACAGTGCTTTCTATCATAAGAAACTCACCGTATTGATAAATATATACAGTACTGCAAACATATTTTCTATTTGTTACGATCTTAACAACATTTTCTTTTCTCTAGCTTACTTTACTAAGAATACAGTATATAATACATATAATGTACAAAATATGTTGTCAGTTGACTGCTTGTTATTAGTAAGGCTTCCGGTCAGAAGCAGGCTATTAGTAAAGTTCTGGGGGAATCAAAAGTTATACTCAGTTTTCAACAGATAGCCTCTAATCCCTACATTGTTCAAGGGTCAACTGTGCTTGAAAATTCTATTAACTAAATTAATCACAACATCACAGTCTCTAACAAGTAGATTAGAGACCTAACTATTCCTTTCCATTAACAACAAACCCAATCATATAATTTTTAACACAGAAAACACCATTTTATAGTTCAAAAAAAAGGTTATTAAATATGATACTCTTCAACCTTGACCTCAGTTCTCCATTCCTCTAAGGGCCAGATGGGTAAGAGTCACAAATACAATATAGACAACCAAGAAATGGACATACTTGATATTTAGAAACATCAGTCTGAAAGTTTTCAAACTATTTCTTTAAAAATGGGATTTAAAGTAAAAAAAAAACAAGATTTTCAGAAAACACGTTCCTAAAAAAATAAAAGGAAAAGAAGGCAACTGCAAATAGACAGTAATTCTTATTATCCTAAAGAATGCTCTTCAAAGCCTTCAGAGCTTAATTTCTTCCTTTCTGACAAAGCTTCCTGGTTCCTAGCCTTTCATGTCGGAATCTTCTGTGGAATCAAGATATACATACCCAGTGGCTTAGTGCTGGGAAAGGGGGCAAGTATAGTAAAACATTCCATCTGTGATTCTGATATACAACAAAGTTTAAAAGCCTCTATTTTAGAAGACAAAAACACGTGCACTGATAATTCTAGGGAAGTGGATTTACTCATTCACTTACGAATATCTTTTGAGTCCTTATTTTTTATCACACAGTTCTAGGGCTGGGGACATAGCAACAAATAAACCTGATAAAAACCCCTGTCCCTTACATTCTAAGGAATGATAGATAAGCTGTGTTGTCACTGCTAAGCTGTCACCCAAAAAGTGACAGAAAGCCTTGTCCACTGAACCTGCTCAATCTTTCCCCAGCCTACAAGACGGCTGATAAGGATACTTCCCACAGGTAACCGATCACAACGTCCTTTGCCCACGTGCCAGACAGCAGTCCTAGTTCCACAGCAGGGGAGGGAAACCCCTCAAGAAGGACCTTTGGAGAAACTGCCAGGCTGCCGGGGCCACTCTCAGAAGAAAGGTTCATTATGAGCTCCTCACTCTCTAGACTAGTGCCACTCAAACTGTGGTCTGCAGACCTGAAACATAGCATGACTTGGGAGCATTCCAGAAACGCAAATTCCAGGCCACACCCTAGAGCTACTGAATTACAATCTCTGAAGGTGGATCCAAGAATAAGTGTTTTAACAAGCTCTCCAGGTGACTGTTCTGAATGCCATGGTTTGATAACCACTGGGCAATTACAAAGCTTTGAATGCAAATGTCTCTCAAAAGTTGACTGACCGACCAAATACCATGACAAAAGTTACCAACTTGCTTTTTTTATTGGCCAAACCACATCTGTACAATTTTAAACTTCTTTTATATGTTAATCTTTTTATCTTTGTAACCCCTTAAGTAGGTAGAGGAAATATTTATGATCCCTATTTTCTTCCCAGGTTTTAAGACAATGCCCATAGTAAATGCTCCAGAAAGTCTACAAAATGAATGAAAGAATGTATAAAGAACAAATAGATAAAGAGATATTACATCACTAGTCCAAAGCCTCCTTACACCACACGATGTATGTTATAATGTGATATAAATGTATTACTCAAAGAATAACATATTCTCTCGGAATGAATACTAAGCAACATGGGAAGTAACCAGGACTAAAAGCATTAAAACAAAATCATTTCAACGGATATTCTTCCAGACATATTTCAAAAAGTTTATTCTGTTTTAAAGAACTCATTCTTTTCCTTCTCTTTGATACTTTTTAAAATATAAAATTTTAATAGTGTATTTTTAACACTTACCCAAAGTCTCCATCAAAGTAGATAGCTCGTTCCTCGATAAGATCTATAATACCTTTAAAATCACCCTCCAAACCAATGGGTAACTGCACAAATGCTGCATTATGACTTAGTTTAGACCTGAAAAACAAAAATACATATGTTTACCCCTTTTTTCTCCCCAAATCCCTTTGAAATGACAAAATAAATATAAAAAGAAATCAATGGCAGACCTGTGGAATTTATCAGTAGGTGACAGCAGGAGATATAAAGCAGTTAGAAACAGACTGACAGTTAAACTCATTGTGCTCAGGAAGCCACAACCTGATGTAGGCAACAAAAAGAATTCTACAATAAGTATTTTCCCATCAGATCCCCAGAATATCCTGGATCAGCAACAGAAAGGGGAAGAACAGGTCATTGAGTGGTTGGCCAGGAAATTAAAGGATGGTGTGGTAACTATGCCCACATCTCATTCTTGGCTCAGCTGACTCTGCTGAAGCTGAGGACAGCTATGTGAAAAGGAAGTTCTTAGAGGGAAAACTCTCAGAGTGGGTATTAAAGCCAGACACTTATCGTCAACCTGCACCCCTGCTCCGGCAGAACCACTGAAGAGAAACTACACTCACCGACAGGAGTTCTCATCCAAGAAAAAATATGGTCTAGCTACCACAGTTTAGTCTAGATTCCAAGTGCCCATCTATAACTAGGAATAGGTAACTAAGAATAACCAAATTTTGAAGGAAATCAATAGCTTGAAAGACAGTGAGCTCAAGAAATAGTACTAACCTCCAAGGAGAGAGTTACCAGAAAAAAATAAAATGTAAAAATCTGAGAAGTACTCACCTCTTTTAATAAAGAAATAAAAAAGGGAAAGTTTATGGAAATTAACTATATAATTGCTGGGATTAAAAAAGAATAAAAAACAGGCTAAATAACAGAAGGGATGTAGATGAATATCAGATTAGTGAGTTAGAAGACTGAGCTCAAGAATTCTCTCATAACCCAGCGCAAAATGAGAAGGAACAAGAAAGTGTAAGAAAGTACTGTAGAAAAGTTAAGACATGGAGGCTAGATTCAGAGGTTTCAAAGTGTGTTTAATCGGAGTTACAAAATGAGAAAACAAATAAAAGGCAGTGGAGCAAAGAAAGTAGTCAAATAAATGCTGAAAGAAAATTTTCCTGGAATTCAGAAAAAGACTCGGTGGAAAGAACCCATCTATGGCCAAACACAAGTAAAACAGAATAAGGCTAAAAGTGAAAATGTTTCCTTCTACCAAGAAAGTACTACAAATACCAATAAACGAAAAGTTCACTCTCAAATTCTCAAATACATTAGTTCCATCAGAGAGCACACAGCAATACTGTGGCTTGAAGTTCCTTAACACTGTATCATTTGTCATCAGACAAATCACTTAGTGTCTCCACTACCACAAGCATTGCTGCCTACAACCATCAGCTCTGCCATGTAAAACTGCAGTGGGAACTCCACAGCTCCATTTACACACCTACCAGAAAAGTGAAAAGTGAAACTGTGACTCTTTTCAAAGGCTATGTGAAATACGCAGTATTGTGCAAAATGTAAAACGATATCAATACTACTTACTGGGTTACGTCCGGTTCAGAAAGGAAGTGTTGCTGATGTCTTAGCAAATGTTACCAAGTGAAAGCAAGAGAATACAGCCCACTACTTTAAGGCATTAATTAAAATTCCTCAAATAAAGGTTAAAATTGAAGAAGATCCCCAAGGTTTATCTAAATAAATGCAAAGTACTTTTAGAACCTACCCTAGACTACAACTTCTCTAATTATAGCAAAACACTATAAATTGCCAGATTGTTGAATTCACCTTCAACTTTCCTAAAATTTAAGTCATATTTCCATTTTACAGAGAAAAGCAGTTGATGAAATCACATTACAAACTGAACTATGGACCTCAGTGTCTTATTTACTAAGTTAGTCATAAAAATGAATTTTAAAAAGGAAAAGAAAATTTAAGGATAAAGCTTAATGACACTGAATTAACTGTCCTTCTGGATGTAAGTTGTTATCCAGATCATGACCTGTCTCTGTTCTAAGGTTCAGTACCTCATTTGCTGCAGGGCCCTGGCTGGGTTGGAGCCCATTCGGTCAAGTTTGTTAATGAAAGTTAGAAAAGGAACATTGTAGCGCTTCATCTGACGATTAACAGTCATGGTCTGGCACTGCACCCCTCCAACGGCACACAGAACAAGGACCGCACCATCCAGTACTCTCAGGGCTCTTTCTACTTCTATTGTAAAGTCCACGTGCCCTAAAAGAGACAGAGAAGTGTGTGAGGGTCTTAAAAAGCAGTCTGATTTTTCACAACATGAACAAGTAAAAGTTTTTTTATCTCTGATCATACATAAGTCTTCTATTTAGAATGTGAATTCCTTAAACCACCAATACCGTTCACTTACCACAAGGTCCAGGCGCCCAATCATATCAGTTCAAAAAGATACTAGGCCATGGGCATCTCTGGAATCAGTTGCAACATGTAAAAGGCAAGAACTTTCCTACCCACAATTTATTTGCACTATTTTTCAAAGAACCCACTTAAGGATGAAGTACTTGAGGTCCCAAGTCAGATTTCTCTAAAAGGGAATTCACAGTCACACTTTTGAGTATTATTTGATACTCAAAAATGAGCTGGGTCATAGTGAAGAAATGAATGTGCTGTTGCCAAAACAAGCTGCAATAAAACCCAAAACTCAACTCACCAGGAGTATCTATAATGTTGATATTGACATCTTTCCACATGGTATAGGTGGCTGCTGACTGAATAGTGATTCCTCTTTGTCTCTCTAGTTCCATGGAATCCATGACAGCACCAACTCCATCTTTACCTTTCACCTAAACACAAGCATAGCCATTCAGATTTCTCTGTCCCTGCATTCCAAGAAGAAATCTTTACTGAGATCGAACCAGAACACAGCGTTAACAGATACAATTTTCAGAGAAACCTCATTGTCAAACCATTTCATTTCATGAAACAGAAAATTGATTACAGGTTCTGCCCTCTATTAATTGCCTAATCCTTTTTTCACTGCCGTTTTCAGCAGCTGCTACCACTCAGCAATTACCTGGTCTGAGAGTCACCCTTGCTCTCTGCACTGTTCCTGCCCACCAGCCATATTAGTCTGTGAGCAGGTGTTCAGAGAACAGATTTTTCCCTGTTGTGCTCCTTGTGGATTTTGAGGCCTGGGTGGGAAAGATTCAGCTTTTAAAGTCTGTGACTGAACAAGATGCTCTTCATCTGAAGTAACATTTTTAAGTGGAGAGTAAAGTTACTCAATATGTAATTTCTTCAGGAGTTTTAAGATTTTCTAAAAAAAATTTTTCCCAAAATATTTTTTTTTAACTATTAAGCTTATACTACATATCATCATTTTAAACCCTTTTTCCACTTAACATTATAAACATCTCTTCATAACATTTAAGGTCATCTAAATATTATTTTAATGGCTGCTTAAGAATACATTATATTGACTTAATATTCTTAAAAAACAACCTACTCAGGATACCCATAGTGATGGTCTCTAGACAGATTTCTCAGAGCAACATTTCAAGCCAACTTGAGCTAGCCACTTTGTGGTATGACTGTGGTTAAAGATCCACTGTTATTCTTTTAATCTTCCAGGTTTGGTGAAATTTATTAAATCCTTACAAAACAAAATTGCAGTCACATCAATCTGGAATCAGCCGTCAACCACATACCTCATGCATCTTTGCAATTCTGCCAGTGTAGTAAAGCACTCGTTCTGTTAATGTTGTTTTCCCAGAATCAATGTGAGCTGAGATTCCAATATTTCGTATCTTTTCATTAGGAATCACCCCTGATGAACACCATCGGCAGATCTTCCAATTAACCTGAAAAAATAAGAGCGCTCAATTCAACGCACTTTTAATGGGATACTAATGAGCAATTAGAAAGGGTTTAGTGGACATCTTTCCTTCAAGAAATCTCAATGCTCACAAAACATCATATGAAACAGCCTGGAAAGGCAAGAGGGAATGTTTCAGCCTAAGAAGGGACTGCAAAGGACAGAAAGGACATATTCTTAAAAATAAATAATTTGAAAAGAGATATTCAAATTAATTAAATAAACGAAAGGGGACAGATACTTTTAACAAACGTCACAGGTTTGAAAATATACACTGGGGCTGATAAAATCAGAAAGACAGCTCCCAACAATTACTTTGACAAAAAAAATGCAGTTTTTACTTTAGATTTTACTTTGATTTTTTTTCCCTTCCCCCTTACTAGCTAGTAAGGATGTCTGAGGACTTCTATGCTCGATGCAGTGGTGCCAATAACTTCAAGGCAGCCCGTAAAAGGTTTCCAATTCCTTCTTCGCCAAAACAATTAATGACATTTAAAAAAACCGATTTTACTCTGGAGGTGAGAGGGAATCCTGCATTTTATAGAATCAAGACACAACATTAACTTCTCTCTACAAGGCTGCACATCCAAAATGCACTGCAGCCATTTCGGGGGAAAGGGAGGCAGAACTTGGGAAAGATAGGTAAAATACTCAATGGAATCTGGATGACAGGCGCCTAGCTAATTAAATCCTAGGGATAACCAGCGCACAAAGCAAAGGAGGTTTGCATGATGGGGAAGGCTCGACTGCACCCTAAACCTACTCCACTCTGCGCCCCACCTCTACCCTCCCCGCAAAAGGCAAACAAACCACCAAAGAATAGTACTAGTATTTAGGCACTAAACCAAATAACCCAGAGTCGGTTGAAAGAAGGAGCAGTCAGCCCAAGGGCACTCGCAGTGAAAAGAGCACTGGATGAGTCAGAAGCCCCGGGTTCGAACCCTGGACACACTAATTCTTCTGCTGTCTTGACCTTCACTTCAGTCACTTCTCCTCTTTAAGGTATACCAAAAATAAGAGGCTTAACCATAAACCGGAGGCCCACCCAACCTCCCACGGCACCGAGAAGCTGCTCCTTAATGACCTACAGCTGTGCAAATAGAGCGGCTTTTCAGCACCGAGGTCGACAGCTCCCTTTCGGAGCAGTCAGTAAAGAGGTGCCAGGGAGGGAAGGCCACTTCCTCCCTGGCCCCGTAGGCACCGCAATGTCCTGGGGACAGTCCCTGGTTCGGTCTCACTTCGCCGGTCTCCACTACCTGTTTCCCCTGCCAGCCCAGGGAGGCGGGCACCCGCGGGAGAGGCCCGCGCCCCACGGCCGCGGCGGCGGCGGCTCCCAGCAGCCTCATGACCAGCGCCGAACTGGCACGAAAGTTTCGCGGCTCCGGCTTTGCCCAGCAACCAGCACCACTTCTGGAAGCTTTCAAAGTCACGCCGGCAATCACGCAGAGAGAGCACTTCCGGGGCAAAGGATGCCAAAGCGGAGAGGGGAAAAAAAAAGAGGGAGAAGCTTCCGGATCTCAGAGCAGAGCAGCGCCCTCCGTTGCCCCGACGCCCTCTGCCGACGTGGAAGAGAAAGTGCAGTCGCTTTGCGGCGCTAATCTGGCTTTGCGCATGCTCCTAGAAAGACGCAGCTCTTAAAGGTGGTTGTTTTGCCGACATAGTGGAGAAATGTTTATACTTTAAGTTTAAAAAAATGCAAAAAATTTTTATCTATGCTACTACAAATATGAAAAAAAATTGATCTATAGGACATGACCTGAAAAGAACGTGGAATAATAGTGAATTATCAACTGCAAGTGCTTTTACTTATTTCAAAATGTCCCATCACTGTTCGATGTTAAACGTTATGTGTCCACTCCATTTAAAAGACAGCATTCTTGACGATTCCACTTGGACTTCTTAAAGGCAGCTCAAACTTTGGAGCTAATGATCTTCCACCCAAAAACTTCTGCAGTCTTCACCTGATAAATGTAAATAAACTCCGTTCTTCTAGTTGCCCAGACCAAAAATGTCACTTTGACACCACTCTTTGACTCTTCCGGTCTAGTCTGTCAGTATATGTAATGGGCACTACACTCAAAAATAGATCCAGAACCTACTTCTCCCCACCAAACAAAGAACCACCACCTCTCTACGTCATTACTGGAATAGCCTAGCTGACCTTATTGCTTCCGCCCCGCGGCTGCTCAGTCTATTCCCAACACAGTAACTGAAGGGATCCATGGAGAGGGACCATGTCATCTCTCCGCTGAAAACACTCATCCAGTGATTTTCTTGTTGCTGTTCTCTACTTTTGTGTAGGTTAGAAATTTTCCTAAAATTTTTAAAAACTACTTTAAAATTTTAAACGACTAAATTAAAAAAAAATATTTAACCCTCAAATAAACAGATACAAGGCCTTGCTTGAGCAACCACACCAATGTAGCCTGCTTCACCTGCTTGCTTTCCTCCAGACACTTGGCCTCCTTAGGAGCTGATCCTCACAGAACCAGAGCCTTTACTCCCCTCTAGATACCTGCATGGCTCTTCTTTCTTTGGTTGAAATAGCTTCTGTCAGTGAGGGGTTCCCAGACCAACTCTTCTGAAACAGCCAGCTCTTCCCCATGTTCACACACTGCTTCATTTTCCTCCAGAACACTTCGATATATCCAGACATTTTACATAGCTGTCTGTTGTCTGACTGCCATCTGACAACGAGAACTTAAGTTCCATAAGGACAGCGATTTGGCTTTGTTCATTGCTATACCCCTTGTTGTGCTAGGAGCTCAACAAATACTTGCTAAATGAGTAAGATCAAATAAATAGAAATCAGAGTAAATTACAGGAGACAAGAAAAGAAAAACCAGAGATTCAATGCTGAATTTCGAATTCATTTTTGGTATGTCATCCATGTATTAATTTGTAGTCAAGGATTTACTTTGATGAATAAATCCATTAATGTTGAATATACTTTTAAGTAAACTTGTTCATTTACAGGCTTTCAAAAATGTAGTCTTTCTAAGCCTTTGTATGTATTTGTTTAAAATATATAAATTAAATAATAATTATGTAAATGGTAGTAATATTAAGGTTTTACTTTAATTTAAAAATATAATTATGTTAAGTAAAAAAGTGTAGCTGTTACTTTTGAAATTACTTTAACAAACTGTTTCCTTAAGTAAAAATTCATACTCATTATCTTGTGTGTGTGTGTTCATATTGTCTGTGATTATTATACCAAGTATATTCTTTTTTTATACCAAGTATATTCTTAATTATTTTTATTAATCACTTTTAACCGAAGTAATAAACTTTTTTCTCCAGAGAAAACTGGAAGACAAAGAAATCAAGAAATGCCTAGCTAAAATTTTGTAAGTACACATTATAGATTTCTTCTGTTGTTTTAAAGTGGCAAAATACACATACATTATGTCATTCAAAGCATTTGCACATTCTGTTGATTTGTAGTCATTTTATAATATATAAGAATAAAGATAAATTCAAACTATCTTTAGTGACCAAAGCTTTGTATCGTTTCTTTTCCTTAGAAACTGTCCAAGTATCCAAGGACTAATTTAATATTTTCTAAGATCTGGAAAAGTTAACTGAGGATCTGAAAAATTACAGTTATAGCTCACACATTGTCCTTATTTTTAATAGTATTATAGTAATTTTGTAAGATCAAAACCCCTTTAAGACATCTGTATTACAATTTTATTCAGATAAACACCATTTGATATTTTGTAATCTTATTTTGTACACCATTGGTGGAATCAATAACTTACTTGAGCTGTAAGATCAGTATAGGAAATTTAAAAAGTTTAAATCATGAGAAGTTCAATCTTAGTTTTATATAAACTAGAATATTTCATTAGCATTAATATTACATAATACAGCCTGGAAGAAGACATATAGCTGACTTTAAATATTCATGCATTAGTTGGCCCAAATCCATCTACTTGTCAGAAATATTTTTTGTCTTCCTTAAAAATACATTTATAAACCTTACATTCATAATCATTACTTAAAAGCTCTTTTGTTTTGAAACTTTTATTTTATTTTATTTTCCAGAGAAGGAAGAATTTATTACTTGCAGCAAGTAAGGAGCATACTCGGGATTTTTCCCAAAACAGTGACTAGAAAGCTTTAGTCTCATAATCATAAGAGAGGCTATTATTTAAATTCACTTGTCCACATCCCATGCAAAAGCAGTACCAATGGTTTATTGATTTTTTCCTCTTAAGACATTTTGGACTATGGGTTTTTTTGGACTAGATATTCCTAGTGACACATATTTCATATAAATAATTGTTTTCTGAAATTCGTCTTTAAAATGTGTCAAGTAGGAGGAGAAGATGGGGAGAGGAAAAAGCAAGAAGGAGAGCTAGAGCCAGCTTTATACCAGCTTAAAAGATAAACTGAGACATTGAAAATCTTGAGTTTGAGCAAAACTCAGTTTGAATCAGCAGCACCAAACAGGAAGAAGGAGCGGTCCACCAAGTGGGGCTGGGGAGAGACTCAGAGGGAAGAGGCAGAGGGAAAGCAAGGGGATTAGCGGATCGGCTAGGGCTGCCTGCTGTGGGAACGCCGGGTTGGCTGTTTTTAACCTAGAGGCATTGCAGGCTTAGGTTTTGGTTTGCTTGCATGAGCTACTAAGGCATTAAAGCTGTCTCAGTCTAATGGCCTCATTCTTTAATTTAGTAATACAAACATGAAAGTATCCCTGTAATAGTCTAATTACCTTCCCTCTTCAAGGAGAGAAGAAAGTTCAAATATAAGCCATACAGTTAAAAAGCCCTGAAGTATGGAAATAAAAGATGGGCAGACTTCTACATAAACAAAGTGGTCTCTTTAGACAAATTACAGAGAGGATCTCTTCCTGAAGTTTTGTTAGGTGGTTGGTTACTTTGGGAGACAATACTAAGAATGACACTGGGACCAAGAGATCATCACAATGCAGATTTACTGCAAAATCCATGTAATAAGGGACAGAGGGACCTCAAGGTTTCTCAGATATTATACTTACACCAAATTGAGGTCCTAATTCACTGCAGTGAGGTAGGTCTAGGTCAAACTGTCAGTCCCTTCAGGCTGCTATAACAAAAATACCAGACTGGGTGACTTCTAAACAATAGAAAATTTATTTCACATAGTTCTGGAGGTTGGGAAGTCCAAGATCAAGGCCCCAGGAGATTCAGCGTCTGGTGTGTCCCACTTTCTGGTTCATAGGCAGCCAACTTCTCACTGTGTGTGCACAAGAGCTCTCTGGGGTCTCTTTTACAAAGGCATTCATCCTGCTCTGAGGGCTCCATCCTCTTAATCCAAACCCCTCCCCGGCCCCACCTCCTAACTCCATCACATTGCCTCAGGCTGGGACCATCTGATTCCAGTGTGCTCCTACCACTAAAAGCTAAAGGAGTCTTAAAGGTAGAGTAATGAAAACCTATCATTGAGACTGAAAGTCACCAGGAAAATCACTAAAGTAGCAAGGAGCCTAAGTATTCAACTTGGCCTTATTGTTGTTAATGTAAGAATATTAAAATTTTAAAAATTCACCAAACTGTTAATATCCTTACATTCCCCAGAGACCCAGGGTTCCAGAAAGATCAGTGGCAGTCCACAAAGAAAAAATAATATGTGAACTACAAACTACGGAGAGCCTTCTTTTTTATACTGGTTAAGTTGACTTCAGAATTACGATAAAAATAAATTCTGAAAAAAGCCAATTTCAGCATCATGTGAATGTAAAGAATTGACATGTAATCCATGTCACATATTTTATAAGTGGCCCCTTAGGAAGCACTGTGGCATAAGAAGAAATCATATTTAATTCAATTTTAATTTGCTTTTTATGGTAAACAAGTTGGGATGAAAAAAAGTATCTATGAATTCTCTAACTGCTATATGACACACAGAAGTTATACTGTCTTTAGTACAATTATTTATTAAACCACGTTTTCATATTTGAATATAATGACTCAAGTTACCATCAGTGTAATAATTTAGGCAAAAGGAGAATTACAGTGTCTACTGGGATTTTTCTCTGTCAAGTGAATTTATGCAAAAATGTTATTTAAAATGTATGCCTTTATGACAACTTCCCAATATGTTAGTATGTTATTAGTCTGCTAAGTTATGCATAAGAGGAAAAATTTAACATCTTTAACTAATACATGCTCAATTATTTTCCATTATAAAAATGAATTGACACATATGCATCTTATTGTAGTGACTAAAGGCATGAAATGCTGACTGGTACAATTAACAGGACATGATACAGAAAATTAGAAGAGTAGAAGCACAATCACCCAATTCTACTTACAAAGTTTAAAAAGAAAGATATTAGGATTATAGAGTGATACAGGGTTTTGTTCTTTTTCTCCTCCTTGAAACAACAAAAACCTGAGTTAAGATTTTATATTCTCAGAAATTTCAAACCTAACTTTATAAAAACAGATTAATGTTTGAATTCTAGAATGAAAAAAAACCAAGAGCTGAATCTTTAAATAGTATAATTAAAAACGGAACAATTGAATTATTAAGTACCTTGCTCAAACACACACATCACCCGTCTAAGAAATTTTGAGACAATCAATCATTCAGGTTTGTAGAATACCAAATGCATTTTTCTAAATGTCACAAAAAGGCTGAGCAGAGTTTCTCCAAGGACACTCCAACTTTAGAATGTTAATCGGGGAGATAGATTAAGCTGTCTGTGGGGAAGGAGAACAGAAATATTCTACCTTAAGATGTTAAAGACAAAGGTCAATGTAAATTCTGATGAATGTTAAAAATGTAACACAGAACAAAAAAAGAATACATAGTAAAAATAAATTATAAGAAGAAAATCCATGTATATTAGCAATTTAAAATCTCTTTGAAAATGAACTATTTGATCATTGTGTTCTTTATAAAAGTAATTTTTTATAAGAGTACTAGTATAGATTCACTTTATTTTTAAAAATTCTTTAAGCTAGCTTTCACCTTTATGAACATCACTCTTATAGTGTTAGTAAAAACAGATAATTTTCTAACATTTTACTTCTTATAACTAATTTTACATGATAGACTAGCTGTACATTCAATATTGAATATATAGGAGGATACATAGCAATAGGAAAATAACTGTGAAAGCAAAATCAGCAGGTGAGCTTTAAAAATTAGTATGTTTTAAAATGATATAGAGTGTCTAATGCTTCTTGCATTGTTGAAAATCAAAGCTTTATTCCTAAAGTAGGGACAATATAAAGCTAGCACTTCCAAGAACATTCAGACATCAGAAGAAAGTTGCTAAATACAGTATTAATTCAACAACAAGAGATTGGTCTTATGTGTATCATCCAGCACCATTACTTTCTCTGTTAAAACCATGGAAACTAAACAGATCAAGTGCAATGCTATTTATTTTTTGTTGATTTTCACAGGTGAGCCTTTGATGTTGAGTTTGTCCACAAAAGCATTTGATCTTCTTCCATATTCAATGGCTGGACTTTGATGAAGTTTCTCCCTGAGAAATATACATGTGAACATTAATATCATTTTTAAAGTGGTCATAAAAAATCAATACAAACACGATAAAAACCACTGTACTGTAAGGTGAATTTTATCTTAGAAGTTCCCTAGTAGCTTTGAAAAACATATGGCAGACAACTTCACTTAATATTTAAGACAGCAACATCTGCTTTCCTGAGACAGATTTAACTCTTTACCGTTTAACCATACTGTCCAACATGGTAGCCAGTAGCCACATCATTTACATTTAAATTAATTAAAATAAAATAAATTTTAAAAATTCAATTCCTCAGCTGCATCAGTCACATTTCAAGGGTGATTCAATAACCACATGAGGCCAGTGGCTATCATACTGGCAGTACAGATACATAACATTTTCACCATTGCAAAAAACCATTTCAGAAAGTTCTGTTGGACAGTGTTGGTTTATAGAAAATGCCACTGACAGGGCCATAAATTTATAGATAATCTATAAAGAGCATGCTTTCTCTAACTGGGACCTGGATTTCCCAGTCAAACTTGGCACTGCTAGGTTTTTATCAATAAAACTTTTCAAAGTGAGGCAAATACTATCTAAAATTGGCATGGGAGCAAGTTTTCTATAGAAAACAAATCAGGGTTCTAAATTTCTAAACAAGTATTTTAAAATAAAAGATGGTAGCACATGAAATTCTACACAAGGCTTCTGATTTACTTGGTACCCACTTGTCCACCGCTGGTTCAGGGAAGCCTTCCACCTTCTGCTGCAATCCTCCACTCTCTTATAGCCTAGAACAGATTTCTCTTTAAAGGCCTGGTGAGGCCTCTCTCCCTCTCTCGAGTTTAAGTTCAATAGGAATTAGATAGTGTTTTCCATTTTCCCCCCAGAGAACCAAATTGAATTGCAACTCTAGAATATATACTAAATGTGTCAAAATCTCTATAATCTTTAAAGTGTGGTTTTAGTACATTTATATGTCACAGCTGTTTCAAAAGGCAATTCCAAAGAAGGCTAAAGTTTTTGCAAAATTCTTCCAAAATATCTAATAACAAAATAATACAGATATTAGTTTACATTATACACATGTCCAAAAATATGTTTACCATTAAATACTCAGTTTTGACTTGTTCGGGAAGCTTTGTTAAGCCTTTTAGAGATAGCCCTTCTCTCCTTACCATACCCCTAAGCACCAGTATCTCTGTCTGGTACGAAATGTATGACTCCTGTCATATCCAGTTGAAAAATCTGTTTCACAAGACCAACCACATCATAGTACAGCACTTTTCCTTAGGAGGATTTTAGCTCCTACTGACTAAAGCATAATTTGCCAGTGAGTTACCAGTCATATAATCCTAAAATATTATCAGTTTTTAAATACAAATTTAAATTGGTGTTGGAAAACTCTGATATAATGTAAAATTATTACAGGTTTTACAAAAGATATTATTGATACAAACAACTTGGATGTTAATAAGAATTTCCTGATAACAGAAGTAAAATGACATAACTTTTCTTCTAATTTGTCTTTTAAAAACACAATTTATTTTAGAGATAACTTTTACCTTCTTTTAAGCTCTCGGGATCCTGAATTCTCATGACCAACGCTCCGCATCCTGGAGTTTCCTAGATTGCGCCAGTGTCCCCCTGGTTTGTACTTCAAAATCTCATTTTGCCACTCCTCATCAAAAGCATGAGCATCACCTACATTAAATATCAAAATTAAGGGGTAAGTATGAAGGTACCAGCTGTCAGTAACTGCCTTGCTCCCCATAGATTTCATTCTAGCCTGGTGTTTCCATCAGCCTAACCTTAAAGTAGAGGCAGGAAACTGCTTCAAATATGAAGGTCTCGGACTCAGAGTAATATTTCCTTTCTATTTGTTCATCTCCTATTTCTGTTGATAATTTGGTTATTGATGACCTGGTTTTTCACACACCTGCCTGGATATCACATTACTGTATCCAATGGACCCCATGACCCAACTGCATTCTATCTCACAGTGATCATGCTTTTCCTCTGCACTTGGAGGAAGCTACTCCTGTGGCCAGCACCTCACAATTTCCCGGCATAACTTGGCCTCATAAGCTTCTGTTTCAATTTCCTGAGACAGGATACTCATCTCAACGGTCAATTTATTTGTTATGAAGTAGGTAATCTAAATTCCATAATAACAATAGGTAAATGATAATACTTATTCTTTCAGATTGCCTATATAATAATGTGTTACTTTACTAAAATTTTCTTCAATATGTTAATTATTGTGAATTACTCTGTATATATTTAAATATGGCCAAATTACAAAGGTTAAAATTAAAGAAAGGTTAAGATGTGGCTTTCCCGTCGACAGATAACTGGATGAAGAAATTGTGGTATATTTATACAATGGGCTACTACTCAGCCATAAAAAAGAATAAAATAATGCCATTTACAGCAACTTGGATGGACCTAGAGATCGTAATTCTAAATGAAGCCAGAAAGAGAAAGAAAAATACCATATGATATCACTCATATGTGGAATCTGAAGAGAAAAAAAAAGGACACCATGAATTTATCTACAAAACAGAAACAGACTCTCAGACATAGTAAACAATCTTATGGTTACTGGGGAAAGGGGATGGGAAGGGATAAATTTGGGAGTTTGAGATTTACAAATGTTGGTCACTATACATATAAATAGATTTTTAAAAAGTTTCTTCTGTACAGCACAGGGAACTATGTTCAATATCTTGTAATTACCTTGAATGAAAAAGAATATGAAAACGAATATACATATGTATATGCATAACTGGGACATTGTGCTGTACACCAGAAACTAACACACTGTAACTGACTGTACTTCAACAAAAAAAATAAATAAAAAGAAACTACATACCCATTAGCAGTCATTCCCCATTCTCCTTTTACCCCTAGCCCTTGGCAACCACTTATCTACTTTCTGTCTCTGTAGAGTTACCTATTTTCAGACATTTCATATAAATGGAATCATAGAATTAAAAAAAAGATGTTGTAATTTCCATCTCATTGAATAAGAATAATTTTATCCAACTCCAACCTTAAGATAATTTTTTTTAAAATGGGTATAATCATTTAAATCCTTTACTATGATAAAACATTTTTATTCAAAATACTTTCTAAAAACTGGAAATGAATATAACCTGAAAGCTATAATGAGAAGAGTGAAGACACTAGAAAGACTTAAATGCATTGAAGAATGCATATAAAATCTAGGGAACTGAAAGGTTTGCTTGATACATATATGATTTACTATCTAATAATACCAGAAATTTAAATCTTATCTACACAAAAGCCTAAGTGCCCAATAACACAGAATAGTTTAAATAAATTATGGCCAACTTATGATAAGGTAACCATTCCAAATGTTTTCGAAAAATAACATCATACATAGGTGACTTCAGAATTACAGTGTAGAAATAAAATAAGCACAATAAACTATGGCAATAGTAAAATACTAATTTTGAAAAAAAAGTATGTGTATTAATATGTTTATATACATATAAAACTATAAGAAAGAAATACACTAAAACAATCATAGTTATTTGAGGTTGGGATTATGGATAATTTTAATTTTCTTTATACCTTTTAAAGCTTTTCAAATGTACTTCTTTGACAATCAAAAATATATAAAAACTATTTTCTACTGACAGTCTTACTATAAAACAATTCAAAAAATTCCATTTCCAAGTATAAAACAAAAAATAAATGATACTCAACAACAATCACAATAAAAAACGGATCTACAATGAAACCACAATTTTATTACTGCTTTGATAGCATATTCCCTATATATTCATAAACTGCCTGAAATGATATCATATGAAATACTTCTATAAAAATATTCACCAAGTTCTACTAGTACAGCTGCTATTTTAACTTTCAGAGGAAGAATGCTATTTTCTGTGATAACTTACTTTCATTCATATTGATGAACTCTTGATTAACCTCTTCGTCTCCGGTCCTGTTGTTCTTTGACTTTTTAATGACATGAGCTCGGTCTTGGAGATGATGACCAACAGCCATTTTTTCTAATCCACTTTCAGAATCTCTCAGTGCTCTCCTAGTTTCCTTTATCTGTGAAAATGAAGAAAATAAAAATTGGTCATTATTTAAATAAATATAGAATGGATATACTTCCAAACTCCTCAGAACCTATTTACCTACAGACGTAAGACCACAGATCCAATGCTCTGAAAATAATAGGTACTCAGTTCCATTACCAACTTGTCTCTGATATTTCCTGAACTGCTTAAAATTAAAATGTCCAGGACAGATAGAACCAATACAATTATTAAAAGAAAGAATAACTTAATTTTATAAAACAATGCCTTCAACACTGTCCTTGACAATTAATAGATGGGAGTACATACTAGCATTCCTACAAGCAAGGGCGACTTCATGTTGATGGGCTTGAATCTCATGACTCCCACCTAATGACCCTATCAATCAGAATATTTATGAAAGCCAAGGACTGTTAACATGGTTTGCTGTGGGACATCGACAATTGCATTCTCTTTTCATTTAAGATGTATGTCATTTATAGCAAGTTAAAATTTAAAAGTCTTTGCTGTACTATGGCAAGAGCATCATTAAAAGGTATGTCTTTACAAGTAAGAACTGAAAAATGAACTACTTACACCTATTAGACAGGCAATCCCAAACTTTCTTTACTATAAGTACTAACAAGGAAGTGGAGAAATGGGAAATCTCATTCCAAAGTCTGTGGGAGCCATTTGTTTCAATCAACTTGGTAATTTCTAGGTAGGAATGAAGACACATGCCTCCTCCAACTCAACAATACCATTCCTAGCCCCTCTGCACAAGGAGACAGGTATCAAGATGAGTAAGTGAAAAATTAGAAACACCTATACATCTATTAATAGAAAATGGATTTTAAAAGTGTGGTATATTCATATTTCAGACACTATACAGAAGTTAAAATAAAGAAACCAGACTTACACATATCAACTTGAATAAATCTCAGAAGCAATTACTGAGCAAAGTCATGTTGCAAAGGACACATGCAATATGAAACCATTTACATAAAGTTTAGAAACCTGTAAAATAAGTCACTATACTGCATATGAAGCATAATAACTAATAAGATTACAAAAAGTATGCATGAGAATGATAAATTCCAGATACAGGCATACCTCAGCGATACTGTGGGATCCCTTCTAGACCACCGCAATGAAGCAAAAATTGCAATAAAGTGAGTCACATAAATTTTTTGGTTTCTCAGTACATATAAAAGTTATGTTTATAATATACTGTAGTTATTAAGTGTGCAATAGCATTATGTCTAAAAAAGCAATTACATACCTTAATTTAAAAATGCCTTATTGCTAAAAACTGGTATCATCTGACAACACAGGGTTGCCACAAACCTTGTTTGTAAACAACACATTTTATCTGTAAAGTGCAATAAAGCAAAGCCCAGTAAACGAGGTACACCTGTATAAGAAAATGGTTCTCTTTGGCGGAGGCAGAAAAGGAAAAGGAGGAAGGAGGAGCATTCTGGAAACCTGAACTGAATCTGCAACGTTTTTGCTTAAAAAGAAAACAAAATAAGAGACAAAGTAAATAGAGAAAAGTGTTGATTTGACTAAATTGGATGGAAGGAATTTGGGGTATTTATATTATTCTCTATATCCTTTATGTATACCTGAAATATTGTGAGTTAAAAAATTCATTTACTTTAAATATAAATTAAAAGTAGACATTCATTTCATGAAACAAAGACTTCTTTTAGTATCTACTTACCTTGTCAACATGTGAAGGTAGTAAACATTGATAGATATTTACATGAAAAAAGGCACCAGGACAGGGGTGGAGGGATTTGGGGAGGCAAAGAATGCCTTAAATAAATACAGTTAGCTTTATTGCTTTGCACAGTGACCCATGTTTTCTTCGACCCCACCCCTTCCCTGGCCAAGACCAGGTCAAATTTTAAGTTAAAAGTTGATATAGGTGATCTATTATCCCACAACTTTATAAAGTTCCAAGAAAGTACTTACTCCTCCTGGAGCCCTACGGGTTTGAGTTGAGGCCTGGAAAACCTTTGGCGGTTCATCCCCTACTTTGGAATACGTCATAACTGAGGAAGAGCTAAACGAATGCCCATTTGGATCCATTGAAAGCTGACCCTGGGGGCAAACATAAATTGTAAATCCAGAGAACTAAGTCAAATACGAAGAACTAATGTCAGAGTATTCAAATAATTAACAACACAAACTAGAAGTTCTAACTAAGGATACTGTAAGTGATGAGTATGATCTATCCAAATGGCAGGTACCCCTAGAAAGCTCCTAACTTCCTTCCATATTTAACAGTTCCCACTCTCCTCGTAAGGAATAAATAACAAGTGATTCACTCAGAAACCCTCAAATCTTTGAGATCAAAGACTTGCGGCTTAAACTTATAGATGCTGTGCCCTGAAGCATGTGATACTTTTACAGTCAGCAGTGGACTGTGCGTGCAGTTTTGCCAACCGTGAGCCAATCAGCCTTATGCCAAGAAGTTTTACACCTTCTGTGGGTACCGATCGCTACATTTCTAAAATCATTAATAATGCCCTGGATTCAGACATTCTGAAACGAACCTCAGATTTCAAACTGGATGACTAAAATAATATGGGCGGTCTTCATACTAAATCAAGTTATTATTTTGATTAATATGAGTAGAAAAGTAAGAGTATGAGTACTAGTTTATAAATATTTAGACTGTATGAATCTAATCCAGTGCCTAAACATCATTCCTGAGATTTCTATTTTTCAAAACACTAGAAGTTAATTAATCTCTTAGGTGCTAGAAATCTTTTTAAGTAGACAAGTTATATATAATTTTTGAAAATCTAAATTCATATAAAATTTTCATTTACAATAGTGACCTTCAGTAGAATAAATGTTTCTGAGGTTGAATTTTTTTATTGTGAAAATTTAATTAATACTATTTTTCAGACTTGTAGGTTGTGAGATCATTTTAGGGGGTTGTGACCAGAATTTTTAAAATGTGAAATAAAATAGAAAATTCTGTCAGCACAATCTGTAAATAGTATGATCATTTTCTCATGAAACTTTTATTTCAGGTATACAATATAAATGGTACACAAATACTGTCATGATGTAAGATGTATTTTTCAGTCACTGTGACCAAGGTTAGAAGACGGTTGAAAGCCACTATAATATAGGGTTACCAATAACTGAAAACAACGTTCTCATCAGTTTTTTAGTACTTACAAAGTTTCTTTGTAATTCCTGCATACTGTTTCGCATATTTAACATCATTCGGTCCATTGCCTGAAAAGGGTTGACATCTGGACGCTACAGGATATTAGGAAGTACATTATTAACTACGAAAGAAGCAAATGAACCTTCCCACAACAGCTGAAAAATGTTTTCTTGATTTTTGCTGTGGGATCTCATGCTGGGATCTACCAGGCAAAGATAATTTAAGGACAATACAATGAAAGCAATTTGTTAAAGAAAAATTTGAAGCATACACAAAATCCTAAATAGCCAACATATAAATGGTTAGGAAGTTGTAACACTATAAATACAGGCATATATGTATGTGTATATATAAACATGTATATACATGCAACATGCAATCATTCAACTTGCTCAAAACATAATTTGGTTAATATTTAAATACTGAGTCGTGCATTGTGGGCGAGACAGCTCTAGCACAGGCTAGTTTTCAAATTATTCCTTTTTCCCTCTGGGTACCCCACCAGGCAAATAAATAACACCTGAGTATAAGACAACAGTGTCACCTTCAGCAATACCACAAGGCTGACAGAAGCTGCCTTGGAGTAGCCAGCCCTCCTGTGATCCACTCCATTAACAGGCCTTGAATTTGCTGCCTACCCCTGAAGGCTCAGTAGGGCCCACCCTCGAAGCATGAGGCATGCTCCTTTAGAATAGTTCAGAATTCCTCCACAACAGTGGTTTCTTACCCAAGAGTGATTTTGACCCCAGGGGGACATTTGGCAATAATTACACTCATTTTTATTTGTTACAGCTGAAGAGGGTCTGTGACTGGCATCTACTGGGCAGAAGCAAGGGATTCTGCTAGACATCTTATGAAGCATAAGACAGTTCCCCAGAACAAGAATTATCCAGCTTAACATGAAAGTAGTAGCATTGAGGCTGAGAAATTCTGCTCTAGAAAGTCTGCTATTGCTTTTTAGGTTTTATCACTAGAACAGTTACCAGAAATCAAAAAGTGAAGCACATGTTCTAGTGTGACACCCAACGCATCATCTACTATTATAAGGAGTGTGTGGGTCAAGGAATTCCTACCACTCAAGTAGAAAGAGTCTTTTGAATCCTCTAAGGCACTGTTGTTCAATGCTGGTATTTCAGCCCTTCTGGAGAGTCTTTTGCTGTGTGCCAAGCTGGGACTCAATATAAGACGTATCAAAGGCCTGTTTATGTCTCTGCATTCTATTGGGTTTTTATTGTTAGTTACAATGGGAAACAGATGGAAAAACAAAATTTCTCTTTAGAACCTGCACTCAGCACAGTAGGGAACACAAAGGCACGTTTAGGAGATACTGATACATCTATGGGACTCAGAGGACTGCAATAGAATCAATCTGCATTTCACAGACTCAACACAATTCAGGAAATACTCTGAATTTTTGACTTCAACAGTAGGATGAGAATCAGGGCTGTTTTAGAGATACAATTCAAGAGAGATGGTAGGGAAGGGGCGGAGAAGCAGGAGGAGGAAAAGATCAGATGTTTGGGTGTATTCTCTCTCTTCTCAATTCACTGTCAAATCAGCAGGGCTATCTTCTGTCTTATTCACTACTGTATTCCCAATACTTTAAAAAGAACTCCTGGCACACAAGAGGGCTCAATAAATATTTGCTGAATGAATGAACAAATTTTCTCTAGCTTAGCTCCCGTATATCCAACTGTTTACCAGATAAATCCACCTGGACAGCCCACAGATGACTCAAAATGCAAAACACCTGAAACGGAAATGATCTCTCTGAACACCTCTGCCTTCATATCTGCACTGCATCAGTGCTCTGTTCCCTAGTTCCGTGGCCAGGGAACTACCAACCTACCTAATTCTTCATGCCAGAAAAATAGGCATAATACTTTCCTTCTCCCTCTCTACAGATCCACCCAACTCAATTCAATAAATCACCAAGTTCTATCCATTCACCTGTTTAACTCTCTCTCAAATGAGATTATTTCTCTTCTTCACCACAGCTATTCCCAGAGTAGAAGCTATAGCTAATACTTCCTAGAAGCCTTCAACAGCTTCCTAGCCTCCCTGCCTCCACTGTTGTCCCTGCTAATCGCTTTCCTACCTGCAGGCACAATGATCTTTCAAAAAGAAGAAACTGATTCTACTATTTTGAATTGATAATTCATCAATTGCTTCCCTGCTCCTAAGATTGAGCCCACAGTCCTTAGCAGGGCCCAGAGAAGTCCCTGGTCACCTCTCTATGCTTATCTCTATCTCTCCTTCAACTCACACCGTAGGGCTAACTGACCCTAAACATCTTCGAGAGCCCTAGCCTCCAGGTCTCTGCACAAACTGTTTCCTCTATGCTGAGCACTCTTCTCCCATCCCTGCTTTTCCTGGCTAATTCCTATTAATCCTCAAGGTTCAGAAAGTCTTCTCTAATTGACCCACCATCGCAGAAGGTCTGGGCTTTTTTCTATCTGTGCTCACACAGCATGCTCAACTCCCTAATCATTTTATTGATAACTCTGTGTTATAGCTGCTTTTTTCCCCCATTCATTACTTGTCTCACTAAAAACTGTCCAGGAAGGACAAATGTCAAACATTGAGAGAAATGGCTGAAATCTAACACAGGAGAATAAAACAGGAACTTTCTCATGAGAGTACAAATGCATCTGTAGGAAATACTCTAAGGTCATGCTATTCTCTGCTACTCCTCAGATTGCTTTTAAGTGTGTCAGAAACTAGCACCACAGAAAACAGAACCAAAGCCCAGAGAAACAGGTGGGAGAAAAGCTAGTTGCAGAGAAGCCATACGTGGACATGGGAAAAGAAAAGCATGAACAAATTGGCAATAGAGTCCTGGAGAGAGCGGCCAATTTGAGCTTTTCCAAATGTGCTTGCCTATCATCAAGAGCATGTGGAAGTCTCCAACTTTCAAACACAACTAAGGGGATCCCTTTTGTAAATCAGGTGAATGGTCACGTATTAAAATGTACTTTTTCTTTTTGAAGATTGATTTTATATATGTTGAAATGACTCACTTCACAAAACATATGCCTAAACACTCTAAGATAAATTTAATACATGAAATAAATTTTCAGTAAAAATGCTAAAAAGCCATCATCAAAGTAAATGCAGCTGCATGCCAATTCAATTTGCTTAAGCTAATGAAAAATAAGTATTTTTCAGAAAATGCTGCTAAAATGGTTTGTGTCTTATGATACGAACCATACCACCAAAACTGCCAAAAGGCATAAGGGAACGCATTGCCTAGGAAAAAAAATCCAATTAATTTTGGTTATGATATTTATTACATGATAATCTCTGAAAAAGAAGTGTACTGCATTAATCACATAGTTCAGAGCTAACCAAGTCATAGAATTTTTTAATCAAAAAAACTTCAACATATATTTAAAACTTTTTCTGCTTATTACTCATGGTAGAGCCTGACAGGAGGCTGGCAGGCAAATAGGGAAGCCTCATGCCACTCGTAAATAAGACTACTCTAGTATTAGTTATTAATATAAAGGCAGTTCAAAGACAAAGTATTTGCTATGGATTGAGACAAACATTTCTCAAAAGAAATGCAAATTCACACAAAAATTGAAACATAAGATACAATGATTAAGATTATATCTTTCTTTTGCTCAACTGTTCCATCTTTTTAAAAAAAAAATCAGTTAATCTTGCTGGTAATCAATTAAAAATAAAAGTATCTACACTAACAACATTTTAAAAGATTAGTAGAGATATTGGGCACAAAAATTAATGAATACTTCCTAAGAACTAATTTATGGAATAAAAAAATGTAGACTTCAGCAAGGCTCACATGCAGATTTTAAAATATTTGGTCTGTGATAGGGAAAAGAACAGTAAATATAATAGATGAAATAATCAAAATTATAGTTCATAAACTGTATTCCTTAATAGGTACAGATGGATAAAAATAAATTTTTAGATGTGTATACAAATTAAAAGCTTTTATTACTTGGAAGTTTCAAATGTTGAAAATAAATTTTGAATTTCTTTGTAAAAGGTATATACAAGGTTTTATAATCATTCAGTGAAAGATAATTTTCTCCCTGTGTAAGTTACATTGAAAAATAGAGAAAACTGTATGTTTATATTAAAGTTTATAATAAATTATATCATACGATATATACTTATACTGTATATCTAGAACAGTAATCTCCAAAGTATATTAGAAGCACCAATAAAATTCCTCTTTCTACTAAAATGAAAATTCTTTGTACTAAAATGAAAAACAGATTTCAGATTGACTCTGGCATTATCTCTCAGTCTAAGTGTCAGAAGAGCACATGTCATAATCTGAATTATAGATTGCCTAATTAAATAAATTTACAGATTAAATGACCTAGCTGCAAACAAAACCAATCCTCCCAAAATGGACAACTGGCTTAAAAATATCCCAAAAAAGAAATCATGACCTGAAGAAAATGCTAATAACACAAACACAATAAAGTGGCAGAGCTGCTGCTTCTCCTACTTTTATAGGAGGCTTTGTTTTCCTTCAATATGGCTGATAAAGATGACAAATGTCAAGAAATGGGCCAACAACAGAAAAAATTATCATCCATTATGCTTAAAAGCATCAGTATAATGGCTTGCTGCTTCATCAAAACACTCATTTTAAAATTTATAACTTCATGAAAAGAGAAAAAAGAAAGCTTTGTATAAATTGTTGTTAAAAGTTCAAACAGAACAGCTAGCATGCTCAAAAAGCCTACTGTTTTCTTGGCTATGTTCTTTTCAAACTAGGCAGCAGTCTTTTTCATTTTCTGCAGTTTCTAACTTCGAATACCTTTACATCTACTTACAAAACACTGACTTAGAAAAGTCAAGTTGGGATAGAGGTCTTTTGTTGTTATTGTTGTTTGGTTTCTTATTTCTTTTAATTTCTTTTAGTTTCAGTATTACATAAGTCTTTCATACTGAGCTATAAACATGTCAAAAAAACATGTCAGGTAAAAAAGGAAAGTCGTATTTCACTAGTATACATTTTTAAAAAAACGAGTTTTGGCTAAAAGAGAAGCTGAATGTTCCTTGGAAAACCTGCTGTAACTGGATGAAGTTCCTACATTTTAAAAATTACTACTGTCCTTCAACTGCCCTAGGACAATGCTCAGTGCTCTTGTTTGGCAAAGGATATTCAAAGTTTGAACAAGAAAAAAATGCGTTGGTGTCAGCTTTCCAAGATAGCTGATACTGTATAATGTAACTGAAGAAAAATATTTATGACTTGATTTGAGATGTAAGAGGCAAGTAAATCCTACCTAGCAGTATTTACTATCTAAAAAGTTATAAAACTCAAGGTTTTAGGAAATGGTTTGGTCTAAATCTGATATAGTGAAAACTACCATTTACTTTTTATTTAGTAGGTCGATGAATACTGCAGTTTTTCTTGGGAAAATGTTGAAAGATATTAAATTTAAAAATAAGATGATAGGTTCATATATAGGTGATCAGTGCTCTTAACTCAGCATTGGCTTAAAAAAAAAAAGCTTAAGGCTTTGGAGCCTATTTGAATATCGTCATGCCCTCCATTAAGGCAGCCACTAGCCACATGTGGCTATTTAAATTTAAAAATAATTCGAATTAAGGGCGAGGGTGTAGCTCAGTGGGAGAGCACATGCTTAGCATGCACAGGGTCCTGGGTTCAATCCCCAGTATATCCATCAAAATAAAACAAATAAATTAATTAAATAAACCCAACTGCCCCCCTCCCCAAATAATTAGAATTAAATCAAAAATTCAGTTCCTCAGGTACCACTAGGCACATTTCAAGTATTCAGTAGCCATCTGTGGATGGTGGTTACCATACTGGACAAGGTAGATTTAGAGCATTTCCATCATCCAGAAAGTTCTATTGGATACTACATACTTCAGCTTATAGATATGGGTCATAATCTGAGAGAAAAGTTAATTTATGCCTATAAATTGGACAAGGTTGCACCTATTTCACTTTTTCATTCAAATGTCGGTCGTGGTCTTCCTTTATATTCAGAATTGTTTATCTACTTGACTTTCTTTATCAAATCTTCACATTTACACAATCATATTACTTTAGCTATGTGGGTTTTTTTGGTTCCCAAAACTTGATTTCAAGCCACACTGGCAAGGCAAATATGAGGCAAGCTAAAATACAAACAGTTCTAAATTATAAATCTTACAAAGTGGTTTCATGGAAATTTATCTCTTTGTTTGGTTATATATTTCTTATTCCAGCTCACTAAACATTCAGATGCTTTAAACAAGTAGCCAGGAAAGAAAAAGTTCTACTTCCAGTGGGTGACCAGCAGAGTTACAGCTGATGTGACAGGCATTTGCAATGAGATCTTTACAGATGAATAAACAACTCTCTTTTCTATGCTTACAAGGGAATAAAATCATCACTTCTTGCTTCTTCCACAAAGGCTATGAGTAGCTCATTTATGCACATAAATACAAATACTATGTACAGCCCTACTCTTTCTTGCTGGTTATATGGTTATGTTTGGATGGTTGTGTGGCTATAGCAAATTATAAAATATTTCAGTGCTCACATGGAAGGTAAAATTTCAGAATGTCACAATTGATTTGATATTTTCTTTGATAATTTTTCCTTTGAACTTAATTTTAGACATTTATAGAAATTTATAGTCCTAAAATTTAAAAAATATATATGATACCACAATTAACTAATTAAAAAAACTAATTGGAATGTGAATAACATATATATTGGAATAATATGCATATGAAAATGTAAGGATTACTTTTATTTAAATGAAAAATGCAACTTTATCCATCAAACTTCTTAGGAGTATTTGAAACATTTTGTTCTATTTAAGATTATTGCAAACAGAAAATAAGAAAAATTTTTCTAGAAGATTCTGAAAGTTTCCCAATTGACTAACTCATATTTACTGAGCTCTAAAAATCTACATTTCAGTTGCAGAGATTTATCTTTTAGAAACTTTTGTGAATTTGTTGTACTAGAACTTCCATTCCTGAGGCTGAAAAAGCAATACAAATAAAATAAGCAGGAAAGAAATTAGTTAAGGTATATAAATATTCTGGGTTTTTTGGGGGGCGGTTTGAGCTAAGTATGTTTGTAACCTTTTAGCTTTGATCTCAGACAAGACTATAAAAACATATTGTAGTTATACAAGGCTTTTGGATATGGTTAAAAGTTAATCTAAGTTTTGAAGGTCCAAGGTAGCCATGCAGAAGACTGGTTTTTCCTGGCCCAACAGAGATAAGCATATACTATAGCTTTGGATGCTATTTTAAAGCAGAAAAAAAGTGTTGTAGGGGACAGGAAGGATATTTCCGTCTGTTCTAATTTGATACATGGGAGTAAATTATAAGGTGAGAGAAAAAACCTATATATATATATAGAAAACAATGCTTTAAGTTTGACTTATAATTTATAACTCTACCGTGTTAAAAGTTTTGGTAGCACAGTGGAATGCTATACAATTAAAAACGCATTGTTAAAGAATTGAGCTTTCCCATAGTTCCCTCGTAACAGTTTTCTTCACTAACTTTGAAGAACTTACAGTCAAGGAATTTTCACCATCCTCATGTCCCGTATGATTACGAGCTCTTCCTCTACCATCAGTGATGCTGAACAAGTCTCTTCCGAAAGGTTCAGAGAAATTTCTCATCATCTGTTGCATACTTTCTCGGTGTGCAATAAAAGAATCACTGTTGAAAATACATGTAATCGTGTAAGAGTAAGTGTTGGAATTTAAATAGTAAGTAGGCAGCTTAATACTACAAAGAATTATTTTGAACTAATATGCTTGTTAAAGAGACAAAGGAAGAATTTAGGAGAATAGATTTATCCCATAAAGACTCACTATTCATGAATACAAAACCTGTTCTATTTGTTATCTACCATATTCACTTGTGTATAATAGTTAAAATATATATGTATATTTTATAATGGTTAAAATACATGTTTATTTATCCCTTACTGTATAAAATTGATAAACACAAAGTAACACATCTCAGGTGGCTTAAGTCCCCACTAAAGGAAACTGCAAAAAAAGGACTCTGAAAAATACTGCTACCAGGTAGAGGTCACTTTGGGCAGTCAACAATATAAATTCTAGTGAGAGCTAATAAAGAATGCTGACTTGTTTATTTTTGTAACTCTTATTTATGGAATGTTAGCATTGAGAACTATAGCTATGTTATGAACACCATGAAGATACAACATTATTTTAGTAAAGACAAAGCTGCAGATCACCTCTCCGAGGCGAACTTTTGTTTCTAAGAATTCCAAATACTAGAAATCACCACATAGTAAAAATATCTTCTGTCTTAAGATAGTGATTCTCAAATTTTTTTTGAAGTTACCAATCAACTAGTGAACAGGTTAGAAATGCAAGTTCCTGGCACCCCTCGCCCCCAACCTCCTAACTGGTGTAGTTTGTGGACATGCATCACTAGCGATCATAACTCAAGTAGTCCTTCAGGAGTCTTTGAGGAATATGCCCCTTCTGTGTCTATAGTACCTTAATTAATTAGGATTCACAGCTTTCCTTCTAAGTTTCCACAGCTGTAAAATGAGGCTGCTATCACATATCCCTGCTGTGGAGATTAAATCATGTAATCTGAAAGCACAAAGTACGGTATCTGATGCATATAGTTTGTTGAATGCTAATTTCCTCATCTTCTTAGCTCATGTATGAATGCCACTCCCTTTTATTCTATTATCAAATACTTCTAATAAAAAAGCGATGTGTTTTATTTAAAAACACATAAAGCAATAATCACACTCCAGGCCCTCTTCTTCGTGCCATATAAATATCCATGTTTTTAATCTGATGTTGTCTCATTTATCTCAAATCTCAATCAAGAATCTAAAATTTTTTGCCTTATCACAGTGGTAATGTCATTTCTGTTGGAAAGTCACTGACCCATTGGTCAATTCCTTATTACTCATCCTAGAACTTAAGGCACATCACCACTGGAGCTCACTTTACCAAGGCAACCTTATTCTTCCCTGTAGCCCCCTGTTAGGACTGAAGCCCCTCATAGTTTGCTCTCCTTTTAGACTTCACCTCATTTTCATCTGCCTTAGGTCACCCACTTCTAATTATAAATTCTAATCTTCTGATGTGATCATGAGAAAGCTCAAAAATTCCATCTTCCTTCAGTTCCAGGCAGAAAGAGCTTCTCTGAGTTCTGCTGTATTTATATACATAAACCTATCCCGAGGGAGCTCAGATTTATACATATGTAACCTTGGAGGTTAAAAAAGAAAAAGCTTCAAGTGCAATTCATGAGCAAGCCACTTAACTGGATTTGTGTGTGTTTGTGTTTGCTAAGAGGTTTTTTGTTTTAATTCAGCTTTGCTGAGGTATAATTTACATAGAGTGAAATTTATCCATCTTAAATGTACAGTTTGATGAATTTTGAAAAATGTATAGTCACAACCACCACCACAATCAAGCTGTAGAAAATTTCCATCTCCCTCAAAGTGCCCTCTTGCTCCTTTGCAGCAATTACCTCCATCCAACCCTAGTTACCAGTGACAGGCTTTCTGTCACTACAGTTTTGTCTTTTTCAGAATTTCACATAATGGAATCAGACATTATGTTGTCTTCTGCGTCTAGCTGCTATCAGTTAGCGTAATGCTTCTGTGATTCATCCATGTTATCAGTAGTTCATTCCATTTATCAGCAGTTTACTTAAAGTTTTATTGCTAGGGCCATTGTATATGTATAATTTACATTACAATATCATTACAAAACTGTTTCTAGTTTTTGGCTATTATGAATAAAGCTTCTTTGTGTATACACAGTTAACATTTCTCTTGAGTAAAATACCTAGGAGTGGGATTGCTGGGTTGTGTGGTAAGAGTGTGTTGAACTTTAAAAAAAGCTAAACTGACAGTTCCAGTGGGCTACATTCTTGCTAACACTTGGTATTGTCAGTCTTTTTAATTTTAGCCATTTCAGTGGTGGTATAATAATATCCCATTGGGGTTTTATTCTATATTACATGGCATTCAGATACCTTCTTTGATAGAACATCTGTTCAAATTTTCCTCCATTTAACAAAACCAGGTTGTTTGTCTTACTATTATGGAGCTGTAGGAGGTCAGAAGCCCAGAATGGGTATCACTTGGCTAGAATCAGTGTGCTGGCAGGGCTATGTTCCTCCTGGAGGCTGCAGGGAAAAATTTGTTTCCTTGCCTTTTTTATTTTCTAGAGACTGCTTGCATTCCTCGGCTTGTGGCCCCCTTCCCCATGTTCAAAGCCTGCAGCATAACATCTTCAAATCTCTCTCTGATGTGTCCATATTTTTAAATGACTCGTGTGATTAAATTGAGCCCACCTGGATAATCCAGGTTACTCTCCTATTTTAAGGTTAGCTGATTAACACCCTTACTTCCATCTATAGCCTTAATTGCCCCCTCCCATGTAAAATGACACACAGCTTCTGGGGATTAGGATGTGGACATCTTTAAGGGGGCACTATTCTGTCTACCATAAACACATTCCTAAAATCACAGTATTTAAAGCAATTTCCAACTGTTTCTGCCAGTCCACATAAAATAGTCTTAGAAGACTGAAAAGCTACAAAATACAGCTTGTGATTAACCTGGCACTCATGCTGAATGGGATGTCTAGAGCTGATGATAGAGACAATAGATCAGAGAACATAAACCTGAATTAGGACCAGCCAAAAGAGACTCAGAAAGCACCAGCTTCTGAAGAAGTATCCACTCCAATGGCAGCATTCTCTCTGCACTGATGGCCTGATTTATAACTATTACTTCTTGTTACAATTCAAAGGGACGTTTGAAGTCCTTTATTAGACTACTAAATGATTACAAAGGGTTTTTTTTAAGTAATCAATTTATGATCCATGTCAATGAAAACTTTCTGTTCTTGCTGTACCAAAGAAAGGCTGCTATTATACTTCCCCTCTCCCTCCTCTCGCCATGTTCCCGATACTCTTCCAGCTACTATCTCCTTTTCTTTAGTTCTTACAACCTTCCAACAGTCCTCTATGCTTGTGTCCTTTACTTCCTTGTAGCTCATTCCCTTTATTTCTTCTTAAATGCCTTTTTCCTTCCCTTTACCTCTGCATTAAAACTCCATGGATTCCCTTAACCTTCCAATTACTAATACCCAAAGGTCGTCCCTACCCCTTGAATTCTCAGCAGCAAGTGTTAACTTCAGGGGCAGTGCACTGTTCTCAGCCTTGTTTAATAAATTTTTCCTTTAAATTCTCCCTTCCTTCTCACCCTTGACAGAGCTTCCTTAGCGTGAGATAGGTTACTGGTGGGTCAAAATGTTGATACCGTATCCCTGGGGCAACAGCCAGGTGGGCCTGAGCCCTCCAAGCCCTGGGGCTGCTTACTTCCAGCTTCCATCAGTCTCTCCTTGTACCCCAAGGTGCTTTGCAAATGTTTTCTAATTGTTAATGATGTTAAAATGCTGAGAAGCACTACCCTCTAAAGACTTATTTTCTCTGGACTTTACCTGGTCTTTTTTCTCCCCTCTGTGGATTCTTTCTATTAACTTGACCATGCTTCAAAGTCCCCAGAGGCACTCAGTAAAATGCAGATTCCTGACACATACACCAGGGATTTTTGAGTCAGTATTCTGGAGCATGGCCCAGTAATCTGCATTCCAACAAGCCTTTCAAGAACCCTAATGCAGATGTTCTAAGGACCTCAAATGAATAAACATTAATCAATCCTCTTCAACCATTTTATCATGGACCTCTAGTTCAATTTTTGCTTGTTTTGATGCAAATGGTCTCCATTTATTTAACAAATATATATTGAATACCCATGTAAAAGGCACTGTGCCAGGCAGTGGGGACAGAACCCTGACCAGGAAGTTGTAATACTTTCTGAAGTACTGAGTATAAATTGCAAATAATGATAAATTATTGAGCATTTGCCCACTTCTATCCAAGTAAGTCTTTGTGTTTACTGAAGTATAGTTGATTTACAATATTATATGTTAGTTTCAGGTGTTTTAATTACCACAGTTTTGCAGTATAGTTTGAAGTCAAGGAGCATGATGCCTCCAGCTTTGTTCCTTTTCCTCAGGATTGCTTTGGCTATTCAGGATTTTTGTGGTTCCATGTACATTTTAGGATTTGTTTTAGTTCTATGAAAAACGTTTTGTGTATTCTGATAGGGATTACATTAAATCTGTAGATTGCTTTGGCTAGTATGGACATTTTAAAACTTTTATTCGTATCATCTTCAATTTCCTTCATCAATATCTTATAGTTTTCAGAGTATAGTTCTTTCACTTCCTTGATTAAGTTTATTCCTAGGTATTTTACTCTTTTAAATGTGATTTTAAATGGGATTGCTTTCTTGCTTTCTCTGACATTTCATTGTTATTGAAAAGCAACAGATTTCTATAAGTTAATCTTGTATCCTGCAACTTCATTGAATTCATTTATTCCAATAGTTTTTTGGTGGAGACGTTAGGGTTCTCTATATATTGTTCATGTCATCTGTAAACAGTGACAGTTTTACTTCTTCCCTTTCAATCTGGGAGACTTTCTTTTTCTTTTTCTTTTCTGATTGCTGTAGCTAGCCCTTCTATTACTATGTTAACTAGAAGTGGCAAGAGAAGGCATCCTTGTCTTGTTCCTGATTTTAAAGGAAAAGCTTTTAGATTTTCACCATTGAGTAATGTTAGCTGTGGGTTTGTCATATA